GGACACCCAGCGCACTCACAGTAGATCTGCAAGTAATGTGCTAACCAAATATTCTTCTCAGGCTCATCTTGTTTCTACCTCCCACCACACGATCAACACCAACGAGTTGCTCTCGGCCAGTTCTACGCTGCCCTTCCACCCTCCTTCTCTCTACCAGCCACCTCCGTCCGCCAAAGGGTTCACAAATGTGGTGGATTTCCTCCCACCTCTTGACAAGGTTGAAGCGCAGTTCAGTGTGGCAGCCATCTTTGTACGCCCCTTTTTCGTGGGCACGAACCGCACCCTGATGCACATGTTTGAAGATCCGGTTATGCTCAGCCGCATGAATAGCGCTACCCAAGCGGCGGCAACAACCTTCTTCAACAGCATGCAGTCATTCAGTGGACAGGTTTCTGCACGGACATTTGACGGCAATGGCTTGTCCCAAGGGATGCCGTTTGTGTGGCAGGCTTTGGATCCGAATGTGGCGCCATTTTCTATCACTTCTTAGGATGGTTCATTTGAGCGTTCCTCTGCTTTTTGTATACCATTGATGTATGTACTTTCGACACTAATGTGATGGGGGCACCTTATTTTTCTCTCTTCCAATTCCCCTGCAGCAGATAATTATCGTTGGATGCCAAAGTGCTCAAATTCCTTCCTGTTCCTGGAGCGATGATGGGAAACCCCCTTGTCAGCTTTCCGGAACCCGGGTGTGTAACAGAAATGCATCCTTTCAGCTGCGAAGGAAGAAGTCCCGAAACTTTGTCGTCATTTCTTCGGATGGAGCAAGAAAAAAAGGAGATCTACAGAACCAACCTCTTCTCAAACTCACCAGCGCAGAAACTTCCTTCACCAACTTCTTTTTAAGGCCCAGCCATCAAGCACTGCAGCTCAAACACACGTAAGCTTTGTCCTTTGCCATACTCGGTGAAAGACTCAAAGTGTCGTGATGAACTAGCCCTCTCTTCACTATTTGTTCGTGCCTCGTAGGTCTACCGAGTACTGGGGCTCGAGTCAGGAACCCAAGGGGCCCAGTTGAGTCGACAACTCCTGATGTTGGGGGCCGTTGGGTGGGTTTATTGGAATAATGACATTGCTTTCCCAACTCGGTGGTCAGCCTGAACAAGTCCCGCCGGGTTCTACCCATATCCAGGTTGCCAGGTGCCCCAAAAACGTTTTCTGGTGTGGATTTGCCAAAGGTCGAGTTCGAGAAAAAGCCCGTTTGTTTCAGAATTGGATCCTAGAGGAACAAGACTCTGTCAGACGGGGTTCCCTTTGGTCCCTTTGGTCACTCTGGTCCCTCTGGACTCCATATCGCATGCCAACTTCTGGGTTCAGTTAGGCACAGCAACTAGTCGGTGGTGACCTATTCCTCCCCCGCACCAGCATATCCCTGCTTGGGCCCTGGGCTGGTGATGCAGATCAACAATCATGCAGGTCCAGGGATGCGGGAACCACTTTGGGGAGGTTGTTTCTATTCGCTGCTCCTCGCTAGCTTCAGGCCAGCAGGCCCTTCAACCCAGCCCTTTGGCAATTGAGGATGCCCGACCGCGTCTGATCTCCCGGACGCCACCCTGGAAAAGCCACCCACCCAGCGTCTGGTCCAAAACTGCCTGCGTGCGAACTAAACGGCGACCGAGTGTTCGGTACCTGGCCCGTACCTGGACGTCCCGTGGGGCAAGCCTTGTTGTCGCAAAAGAGCGCCGTTCTGCGAAATAAGGATCTGCCCTTTTTTGCGCACAAGGACGACAACCTACCGAGTAGTACAGCCCGGCAGACGAGGCCAGCAGGAGACGTTCCTCTTCCCACCATGTGGTGGAGTCCATGCGCAAGCCTCCCTCCCTCTCTCTTCCTAGACTCTGCGCAAGAAATCCTCCTGCAAGCTCTACCTACTCTCTTCCTCCCACCATCCCAGCCCGGAAAGCATTTCTTTCATATGTTGTGTCCTTTTTCTCTCCTTTGCCCCCCCCCTCCTGTTTGTACAATAATCCCTTGATAACGCTGCTGCTTTCCTGGTGAACCCAGCTTTTTGACAACGTGGTCCCTCCCCCTCCTCAAGCAAGCGTCGAGTGTGTACAGGTACATCTCTTCCAAGACGAGAGCTATGATGTACCCATGACACTGCATTACACACTCTGCGACGACTCTATCTTTGAATGACCCTCCCCCGTCGCAGTAACCACACACAGTGACATGCCATCTCGTTGTATACGTCCGGCTACGAAGACTCTTGGTTGGCCCAAGGAAATATAGTCCAGACCTGTCGCAATCCAGGTCAAGATGGTCGACACATTGCACCGTAAGTATTCAAACCACTACCACTCAATACGGACAGACGGGTACTGAATATCAACAGCATCTCCTGAGGTGATTGCTACTTGGCCTAAACCGAACTATGTCAATCCTGACACAAGAGGCCCGGGCCTGGTCTACATGTGTATCATATTCGCCGCTATTGGCATCATTACATGTACAGCCCGAGTATACTCACGACTGTTTATAACCAAGGCACCCGGCCTGGATGATCTCCTGGTGGTTATCGCTCTAGGGTTCCTGACCGCCTTGGCCGTCCTGGTCATCATCGGCAATAAAAAATACTATAGCGGCCGACACATCTGGGACATCCCACCCGACAGCTTTGTCGGTGGACGTGCCAACATCTGGGCCAGCCTGTGGTGCTATGTTATCGGCATCACCTTGATCAAGATTTCTGTCCTGTTGTTCTATCGCCGCCTCAGCGTCAAGTTCAGCAGGGCCTTCCTGATCGCAACGTGGATCGGCATCATTTACAACGTCCTGTATTTCCTCTCCTTTGGCCTGACGCTCTTGCTGCTCTGCAGTCCCCTGCACTCGTACTGGGACAGCTTCAACCCCGTCTGGGCCGCGACGCACCACTTCCACTGCGGTTCCGAGGGTGCAGCGCTCCCTGCCTCGTCCGCGTTCAGCGTCGCGGGTGACTTTTACAGTACCCTGCTCCCACTCATCCTGGTCTACTACCTGGAACTCCCGCGGCGGCAGAAGATCGCCCTGTACGCGCTGTTCGCGCTCGGCTTCATGGCCGTCGCTGCCGGGCTGGTCCGGACGGTGCTGATGTACAACTTGCTGAACGTCGACTACGACTTCACCTGGGAGCTGTGGCTGACCTGGATCTGGGCGATTTTGGAGCTGTATCTGGCGCTGTTCGCCGCCAGCGCCCCGAGTCTGAAGCCGTTCTTTCGACATTTCTTTGTCGAGTCGCTCAGTAGCCTTGCGAGGGGCTCGAGAAGACGCGGCGAATATGGCCATGACAACAGCCACGGCACTGGAGTGGACCCAATGTCAGGAAAAGACTTGGGAGGAGTTGGAGGGAAAGGGTTGGGGACATTCACGTCCGAGACGACCAAAGGTGACGCCAGCGTGACCTTTACGACCGACCTCGAAGGAGGCAGAGGTCCTTGGGAAGGTGAACGTAACGAAAGGGCGGGATCTCGCCAGAGTTGGTTCCTGGCCGATGGCGAGAGCGACGACAACGGGACGAAGCATTTCGAACTCCGGGCCAGCCAGGACGGGAAGAAGATGATTCCCATGCGCGTGTACAAGCGCAGTGATTACCCTACCTACGACATTCCCGAGAGATCTTCCGAAGACCCCTTTGCCGACGCCGGCGAACGTACCCAACCCTTCCACCAGCAGTATCAGCCACACCCCGCGTCTGCGGAAGAAGCCACGACGGCATTACCACAGCGGCCAGACTGGCCTCTACCCATTATGATGCCGCCGCCGACGCCGTCGACGCCGCCGCAGACGACGACAACAATGATGATGATGATGGGGACGGAACAGCAACACGAGCCGCGCGAGTTCCTGGCCAACCCGCGGCTTTCTTCGCCACAGTACTTGGAGAAGTAGATGTGTTATTGGTACCAAAAAGGAACGATAAAGTCCTGTCCAGTCTAGTCTAGTCTAGTACCCATAAAAATAAATGTAAAATGTAAACCGTAACAATGACATGAGAGGACATGAGAGGGAGAGTGAGAATGACGAGAGAGAGATATAACACGCGTGCACCCACATTATACGTATCGAGTAACTCACATGGTCTGCTGCAGTTGGCTGGCTCGCTGGCTAACCTGTCTTGACCTGACCTTTTCCAATAAAATGTTCATGGCTGATGGGGGATGGAGCGCCGTCGCCAAATTAGGCCAAGGCTTGACAAACTGCAAAGCACCCAGCACCCGCGGCAATCCACGCACCACAGGCACGCACCGCAGGCACTCAAGGCAGCCAACGCAGGCAGCCGCCCCGCGCAGCCTCCCGCCCGTCGCCAGAAAGCTTTATTTCTACCGAGTAAATTACCTCACCTACTACATCACCCAGTCAGACACTCTCATTAGACCGAGCAAGACGCCTCTTACCTACGTGACCTATCAGCCTCACAGAGTGCGGTCTCGCCTCTCTTCAGTCCAGAGCAATCAATGCGCAGGCCAAGTCTGCAAGACGAGGGTGTCGATCACCAGCATCTGGTACTCGCCCCAGCCATGCACCACCACGGCCCTTCCTCTTGAAGTTGACCGTCCTAATGCGAGGCACACTTCATCACCGGGAATTTCTCCTTGGTGTGCCTGATGCACCCATCCAGCGCCTCCTCAGCGGCAGTTTCTGTACGCCTTGCCACAGTTCAGATGTTGGCGAGCTCGGGATTGGTCACCTCAGGCATATGCTCTCGCCGAATCTGCCTGCTGGTGTAGGCATGTCCAGGGCAGAAATAGCACTTGTGGTGCCACGTTCCAAGTGGTGCTTTTCCTGCTGCACAGTTGCCTCGTATGAGCATTCTCGCATGTACACAGAGCCGGGTGCTAGGCTGTGCAGTCTGCGCCTGCAAATGGTCAGGCTCATGCAGCTACCGGTTAACGATGACTGAGCTCAGCGGCACCCTTGTTGGTCGAACTTCATCGATTTCTCCAACTTCTTCCACCAGCCACCTGCCATTTCTGTTTCATCACGCTTTGCTTCATCACCACCCCGCGCTGTCAGAAACAATGCTGGACCCGGTCTCAGCGATCAGTTTGGCCGCGGCAATAGTGCAGTTTGTCGATTTCAGCGCCGAAGTCATTCAAGGTGTACGAGAAGTCAAGGGTTCAATCTCTGGTGCAACCGAGCGCAATCGGAGCGTCGAAGTTGTCGTGAGCGACTTGAGGAATCTGGTCCTGAAGCTCAGTGAAACGCACCATTCGCGGCAAAGTGAGGATGAGAAGGCTCTTGGTCGCGTTGCCGATGAGTGCAAGATTCTGGCAAATCAAATTCTCGACCTTCTCCAGAAGATCAAGGCAAAGAACCCCAAATCAACCCTCCATGTCGTTTGGGCAGTACTGAAGAATCAAAAATATAAGAGACAAAAGCTGGAACTCGAAGAGAGATTGGAAAGTTGTCGGAACCACCTGGAATTCCAATTAAACTATTTGACCAGGTGACACCCTTTCTACCTTGATCTGAGCAGAGAGAATAACGATCTTACAGTGCTAAGGTAAAGACCGGACTGGATACACTGGTCAACTCTGCTGAAGGTCTGGCTGAAAAATTCGAGTTTCTTCGAAAGCATGTCGAGCAACTTCGCTGCGGAACCGGTGTTGCGTCCTTCAGCCCCGAGGCTCAAGAACAAATCCGAAAGCTCGTGCATCTTCCAGACGACGTACTCCTGGAAATCAAACAGCAACGCGTTCTAAAAAGTCTCGCCTATAGTGAAATGGAGGCAAGGTTTAAAGAAGTCTCCCGAGAACACAGCAAAACCTTTGAATGGATCTTTGAAGACACTGCCCAAGGAAGCAGGGTAGACAACGACCACTCCAGCCGAGAGTCATTTGTGGATTGGTTGTCATCCGGACGAGGGATCTTTCACATATGCGGAAAACTGGGGTCTGGAAAAAGCACATTGATGAAGTTTTTGTGTAATCACCCTCACACTGAAAGGGAATTGCAACACTGGGCAGGTAAGCTGCAAGCCCCAAGGGCAATGCACAGTCACATCGACCCTTGAGAAGCACAGACTAACATGCTCTTGAAAGGCGACCGAAAGCTAATATTTGCCAAATTTTTCTTCTGGAGGGGAGCCAAATCCGTGGAACAGAAGTCTGTCTCCGGCCTCATTCGGTCGCTGCTCTACGAGACGCTACGTGCCTGCCCCGAACTCATCCCCCACGTGTTACCAGGCCTCTGGGCTCAGGCCGAGTCCTCGTCCTGGCAGGCGGACATGAAGCTTGATCTCGGAAAATTGGAGGCCCGAGCAGCAGTCTCCAGCCTCATCACGCTTCGGAACTTGTACAAGGAGCACTGTTTCTGCTTCTTCGTTGACGGTCTGGATGAATTCGAGAAGAGTCCTCAGGATGGCTATGGAGATCTGATCAGGCTGCTTGGCAGCTGGTCCGAGGCTGCACCGGAAGCCGTCAAGATCTGCGTCTCAAGCAGAGAGGATCTGGTTTTCATGGATGCGTTCTCTAGCGAAAGGAGATTCCGCCTTCAAGAACTAACAAGGGAGGATATCCAACGTTACGTTCGGGAGACTTTGCCCATAGCCGCTCACGAACAAACCGAAGGATTAGTCGGAAAGATAACCGAAAGGGCTGATGGGATCTTTCTTTGGGTGGCTTTGGTGACGAAGTCAATTCGAGATCAGTTGGAGGAAGGGTACGAGCTCACTGTTGTCGAAGAAGAGCTTGACCGGCTTCCGAACGAGCTGCAAAAGCTCTTTGAGCATCTCCTCGAGACTATCAGCCAATCTCCCGGTCACAAGATAGCTCACCATACCTTTGCGATGGTTCTGAAGCTTAGATATTACAGGCTCGACCTGATGTTGCTGGCGTATTCTTTTCTGGAACATTACAAAAAGGACCCGAGCTTTGCTATGGATGCATCATTCCCGTTTTCGCACACAGACGACGTTGGCGAAAGAAGACGAGAAGATCATGCACGCAGAAGACTGTACCGAGACTGCAGACACCTTCTGGAAGTGAAGGCAGACGAGGAAGACGGGGGAACTATCACCGTCACCCACCGCTCCATCCTCGAATTCCTCCAAAGTCAGGCTGTGAAGGGCGCGATGAAGTGTGATCTTGATGGCTTCAGCACGGAAGATGCAATTTCCCAACTCTTCCTTGCGGCGTTGCGGTACAAAAGGGAAAGATTTTCCGATGAATTTTTGAGTCGTGTCGTTTATAATATCATCCTTATGCGAGACGAAAGTGGCATTGATCAAGAGCCATATCATTTTTTGGAAGCTCTGAGTTCCGCGGCGAGTCCTGTCTCGATTCATGACCCTGGGACCTCTTTGAAGACACGAAACTTTGTGGAGGTAGGGATTTGCCCTTCGCAAAACGTCATTGTGTGTGTGGCGGGTGAAAGGTCATCGAGTGAAGAAATCCTCACATCTCCTGTCTATATCTCGGCATTTGTGGGAGCTTGCCAATACGTCACCTGGAAGATACAACGCGATCCAACCATTCTCGAAAATAGGTCCGAAATTGCTCTTATTTTATGCTGCATCGAATCCAGATACGTACCACACCCTGAAGCCCTTCACAGAAGGGTGAGTATTCTCGAACACCTTCTCACCCAGGGGCTCTCTCCTAACGTCATCATGCACAATAGGATTACGGGGACTGGCTCCTACCCTGAAGACCTGAGTTTCTGGCAGCATTTCGTCCTGGACGTTGGACTGAGGCAGCTTCCGTCGGATGAGACCAAAAATGTGTTCGGCGAAGTAGTGGAGAGCTTTCTTGCCCATGATGCAGACCCTTACTTGTGGATTTCGAAGACGTTTCAAAGTCTAGATGACGGGACGAGTGACATAGGTCTAAAAGCGATTTTCGGAAGAGAGCGATCCAGGACTTTCTCACTGGAGGGCATCACGGATGCCGGATTCTGGTTTCCACCTTCGGCTGACACGGGCAAAGAGTTTTCGCTCCGAGACCTAATAAAATTCTGGGACTTCGATAACCAGGAGGAGGTCCTGCAGTTACTGGATACAAATGTGCGGCGACGAGAACTGATGGCGGTCGGGGATAACGTGTTAAACGATCAGCCACCCAGAGACCAAGAGGAATGTGTGATAGAAGCTCTGGACATGGCTGAGCCTCAGGAGGAACCGCCAGTCACATCAGCATCAACCTTGAGAGACGCGGTCGCAGAGAAACCGGCGATGAAGCCTTCGACCACGGGAGACCTCTGGTGGTGGCTCCAATGGTCGGTGCGAAGTCATGTCCTTCCATTCGTGCTAGGTGAGTGGTCTACTGCGGTGAATAGGTATCCTTATCAACTTCTGACGACTATTCTAGGCATCCTTGTGGCCTGTGCTTTGCCTCGACTGTGGAGTCTGCTGACAACACAGTCGAGTATGCGAGAAGAGGGAAGACGCGGGGGGATCTCAGAGCTGTGAGCTGGATGGAATCTCTGACCCAGTGATCCCTCCATTCTGCTGCCAGCAGTGCTCTTCGCTCTCTGTCGCGGCAAGTAGCGAAGAAGACATTTACAAGCCATTGGAATCTAGGCCTGTGCTGGTGGTCATCTGCCTTTCATAAGTGTCTTTGGCGTTGGATGTATATTTTATAGATATGAGCAGCAGGATCGCCAGCGACTTCCATATGCGGTATTGAGGAGATGGTTAATACCTCGTACATTGAGTGGGCTTAGGGAAACCCAGTTCCATCCAATCAAAGGGGCGATGATCTTTTTACTCATTACCAAAGGGTGACGACAATACCATCCCCCTCCCCCCCCCCCTCTCTCTCTCTCTGTTTCTACAGTCCCCTTCTCCTCCTTGTCACCTTGAAATATCCAACCTTCTCATAGCCTAGCCGAGTCCATATAATTCTACACCACAGAACGCCTGTATCCAGTCGAGCGAAATCACACAAGACGTAACCCCAAAAAAACAACCATCTCCCCTTTCACATGTGTATAAGAGTGTGAGAGAACACCTTGTCGCCATGTCCGAGATCAAGTCCAAGGGCGGAGTGCAAATCGCGAAAGGGGACACGGTCAGCACGCCTGTACGTACAGCATTTCCACTCATAGAATAGAGAACAGGAGGCCGAGGCATGACGAGAAACGGGGTATAGAGTCAGATGCTAATTAGGGGAACTTTCTGAGGTTTGGAGGATAATAGTATCGAGGCGGGAAACATGAGGGACAGGTTCGTCTGTCCGTCGCGGCTAGATTCGCCTTTCTTTTTCTTTTCCTTTCCGTTGTCACGCTGTTAAGTCGTTCCCCCCCCCCCCCCCCGGGGGTTGGTGTTGACGGTATGTCTAGGTCGAACAAATTCTCCCTGGTGACGACGACTCGCAACAGGCAGAGGAATTGCTGAGAGACGTCAAAGGCGCGACACACCCGCCCGCAGTGGTCTTTACGGACCAGAATGGGAAAAGGGTCGCGCATCGGCCGGGGACGTTGAGAGATTTAAGTAAGGATGAAGATAAAGATCATTGAGGAGGCCCAAGGAAAAAAGAGAAGAAGGATGGGGAGAGGGAGAAGGAGGTAGAGATGGAGGGAGAATCCTATACTATTTAGTTAGACTAACCGGGAAGATTGCTACCAACTCAAAGTATGATCTATGTAAGACTATATGAGTAACGTAGGTACTATGTATGTAGAGGCAGAAGAAGAGGGTGGAGATGGAATACTTGACCTCCTTTAACCAATTAACCAAGTGTCTACCTAACTAGTTACCGGGGGGGCATGACCCCCATCAAAGGCAAGTGATACTTCAGAATTCGCATTCACATCACAGTCGTTGGTAGCGAGAGTCAGAACGCCCCATGACTTATCAAAGCGGGCGAGACTGACTGGTCAATCACCTCCTAAATTATATTATGCTCTTTACCACCTGCACAATGCATCTACTTGACCAAGGCCATTAGGAAGCCGTCATAGTTCTTCTCCGCCACCGTTTGGATGACGACCGCATCGACCCGGTCATCCTTGCCCACGGCCTCAATCAGTCTCCTCGCCCCGGCGACGCGAGGATCGTCCTTGGCGGCCTCGTCGGCCAACAGACCCCGGCGGACGACGTTGTCGACGTAGATGCTCGTCCGGGGCTTGGTCATCTGCAGCGCGTACTCAAAGTAGGCCAGGTTGTTCTCCTTGTCGGCGTCGATGAAGACAAAGTCAAAAGGCGGGCGCTTGCCGGCTTGGACTTCGGCGAGCAGCGCGGGCAGAACCTCGATGCCCGGCCCCAGGAGCACCGTCACTCGATCGCTCAGGCCCGCGTGCGCAATGTTCTCTTCGGCCACTTTTTTGTTTTCCGGGTTGACTTCGACCGTCGTCACTTTGCCGTCCTCCCCCGCCCCTGCGGCCAGCCAGATGGCAGAGTATCCCCCCAAGGTGCCGACCTCCAGAATGTTCTTCGCGCCGGTCACCTGGATTTGCAGCGATAGGAACTTTCCCTGTCCAGCGAAGACGGCAATGTCTGGCAGACCCTTGGCGAGAGAATTGGATCGCGCGAATTCCAACGCCTCGTGGTATTTGTTCCGTCCAGGGGCGAGCAGATGGGCGTTTGTATACTGGTCCACGGCCGTCCAGCGGGGATCGTGCTCATGGACCACCGAGTATCCACCTTGTGCCGTCGCCATTGTCAATGCAGTGCTCACAAATGTGTCTACCTCTACCCAGAAGGATGTTGGAAAAGGTCAGTCTGGCGTAGCCTGGTTGTGGTGACTCAAGTCTCTCCAAGAGGAGGACTACGAACCCTTTTAATCTTTGCTTCGGCCTCGGCCTTCCTCCTTCCGAGTTCGGCCGATATGTCTGGGTGTAAGGGTGTCGCAAGAACTGTTGCGATGGCGTATTCTCCGTCGTGACTGATGCTGAGTTGGGCCACCTGCTCGGTCACCTTGATGGTGGAATCATCCGAAGTGGCCGTGGTCGCGGGAGCCTCTGGACGCGTATCACAGACGACGTGGACGGCGCCGTCGGATTCAATTCCGACCCTCAGATCGCGAAAGCTGAGTAATGAAGCGTCCCAGGCCTTTTTGGCTGCCTCCTTGGACGCCCAGCGGCCGGCGATCCAGGCCACCACCTGTTTTCTAGCGAGCTGGTCCTGACGACCTGCGTCATCTTGCCAGTGCGGGAAGCGGCGTCTCAAATCCTCGAGCTCGGCGGGGACGAGGAAACGATTGGCCAGCCTGACCAGGCGTCTGACATCTGGTTGGAGCAATGCCGAGATGCGGTTCGTGGCAATGATGTCGGTGCCAATGCGCAGCGCTAGAGGGAAAGGAGCCCGCATTCATTCGGCTTGTCGCGCGCGTACCGGAGGAAGAACTTCTGCGGGGATTGAAAGGGATCTTTCCAGGGCTTTTTAAGAGAGGAGCTCTGTGTAGCGGAGTGCTTGTTGACTTTCTGGGAGGATTTGGAGAAATGGTCAGTGAATGGACGGAGGGACGAATGAAGTCAAAGGGTGGCCAGCAACATTTGGCGAGATTGATTATTCGGTGACTGCGACTTCAGCCACACAACAAACTCTCCTTCCCTATTAGGCTTGTCGATGGAATGGCCACTGAATCAAAGATTCAGAGAAGGGAAATGCTCGAATCATCATGGACCTCTACCATCCATTCTGCTATCTACGGCCTATTCAGACTGCTATCACTTCCTCATCCAAGTATTCCTGTACAACAGATATCGCCCGCCTCCGCGCAACTCCGCACCTTTGCGGGGCCCGAGGCCAAAGACAATGAATAATATGGCATTGATCTCCTGCTTCTCTCTTGTTTGTGTGTAGCAGTCTCCATCTCTCTTTCCCCGCCGCAAGACCAAGACACAAACCAAATAGCCTTAAAATGAAGCATATCAAGTGTTCAGGGACGCCATACGAGGTGAGATTTCGCTGTCAAAACTCGTGAGATGTACAACTGTTGACATGCTCAGATTGGTCGTCAACATGGCGAGGCAGCCAAAACCGAGGTTCACGGAAGCATGGCCTTCTATGGCGCTTACTTCAAGGAGAGGGCGAAGCTTTCGTGGCCACAGGTGCAGGATGTAGCGCGAAAGTCCCTGCCCTGGTTGCAAAATTCGTACCCAGAATACGTCGAGGAGATGCAAGGCGTTGCCGACGGCGCGGGCCTCGATCTCGAATCAATCGTCGCACTGAATGTCCGCACCGAGATTGCCTTTGGCATGGTGAGTGACGGCTGCACCGCGCTGGCCTGGAAGACGTCAGATGCGAGTTTCCTTGCGCAGAACTGGGACTGGAACTTTGACCAAACACCCAACATCATCTGTCTCTCGATTGAGCAACCCGGAAAACCCAGAATCCATATGATGAGCGAAGGTGGAATCATTGGCAAGATTGGAATGAACTCGGCAGGTGTCGGCGTCACGCTGAATGCCATCCAAGCGCCGGGCGTCTCTTTCGACAAGCTTCCTTGCCATCTTGCGCTGAGGACGGCACTCAATAGCACCTCTAAAGACGCAGCAGCAGCCGCGCTTCGTAAAGCAGGAGTGGCTTCGGCTTGTCACATCACCATCGCTGACGCTGCAACTGGGGGCGTTGGATTTGAATGTACAGCACTTGACATTGTGGAAATGCCCATGGACACGGACGGCGCATTGCGTGGGTCGTGTACTCACTCCAATCACTTGGTCAAGCAGCACAAGGTGGCAGGGAACGTACTTGTCGCCGACTCCCCTTTTAGGCTCGACAGGATCCAAGAGCTAATGAAGGACATTGGCAAACCGACCATGGAAAACTTGAAGGAGATTCTCAAGGACGAGAAAAACTATCCCGTCGCTATCAACCGAGCCGTAGGTGAGAAGAATACCAGCCAAACCTTGTTTTCCATTATCATGGACTTGAAGCAAGGCTTTGCCGATGTCAAGATGGGACGACCAACAGAGGATGGGGAATCGTTCCAGCTGAGACCATAGTGGACATTGTGACACAAGGACCGAGGCGATCTCCTCTGTCCAAAGAACTTCAAGTCTGGTGTGGTGGTTTTCGATCCGTCTAGCTTATGTACAATGCGTAGGTTCGTCCGAACCAATGTTTTCTCATGCTGCTGTTCTTCTCTCTAATGCGCCTCCTTCTCCGAGATCTTGTTGCCCTTGTCCTCTTGCTCCACCTGTTGTAGAAATTCCCTGCCAAGGTGTTAGGGAGAGCTTCGGCAGCGAACAACGGGCGTAAAGCTTCTTACTGAATGAACTTCTCCTCGTCCTTGCTTGAGGCGTTGATTGGAGGTGTAGTCGATTTCTTGGCTCCACCGCCTCTCGTCAGCAGGTAGGGCAGACCAAATGCGGTGCTGAGCGTAGCGATAGCCAGCTACAAATAAATAGTCAGTCGATGCGGTCCGAGGGAGGACATTTCCTCAACGCAGATTGAATTGTGACAGAGCGGGATGGATCACGCTCACGTACCCAGTGGGATCCGACCTGGCGGCCTGCGACATTGTACATAGCAACCATCTTGACGGTTTGACGGGCTTTGCGAGGGGGATCTGTTCGAGATGGTGTGGGAGTTGTGCGGGATTGTGAAAAGGTGAAGCAGTCGAACTGCGGCCCCGAGATTTTGCGTCTGAGCTGCTGGAGCTTCGTTCAATGACCCGCCGGACGCACCACCTGCTACGGTGGGCCACATCACACACTTGTGCAGTTGTCCGCCTAAATCGCCTGCGCCTCATCTCGGCGGGGAGCTGGGAAGGCTCCGGAAGCTGCAGGGAAGGGTCATTGCACCAAACCAGTAACTGGTACGACGCGATCCTGAGGCTTTTTTTGCCTCCATACCATATGAGCCGGTTATATTGGGCGACAGGCAACTGCAAACGCGCCTGTTGAAGTTTTCCATTTCCGCCTGCACTCCCCAAAATGGCCGGCAGTGAAGGAGACCGCCCAAACTCTGCCTTCCCACGCGAGCAGTTGAACAAAGACCTCCAAAAGCTGGTCGACAAGCAAGATGACTGGATGGACAACTTTTACGAGGGGGCAGGGCCCGACACAACCGACACCAGCATGCGATATGCCGCGTACGCGAACCGTCTGCGTACCATCATGTTGAGCGCCCATCGATATGTTGCGTATACCTCGGACATTGGCGAGTCCTTTCGCCCGGTCGCACACCCCATACTCGTTAGAAGCGCGTACGCGGTGTCATGGGCATACGTGCTCGGTGATGTTGGGCACGAGGGATACAAGGCATACAAGAGGAATCAGAGGCTGCTAAATCCTCAAGCCGATGAGGGCTCTGATGGAACACCAAAAGAACCTCTGGGCAAGGCCGATGCTGAGGCAGCACCACAACAACCCATTCACATCCCTGCGATCGAAGACTATCGGGCTGTGATGGCTCAGCGAGCTATTTTCCAAAGTCTCGCATCAATGGGGTTGCCCGCGTTTACGATCCACTCGATCGTGAAGTATTCCGGGAAGGCGCTCAAGAGTGCGGCAAATCCAGCTATTAGAACTTGGGCCCCGATCGGAGTGAGTGAAGCGTCCAGAGACTTTTTGTTCGAGACTGACAAAATCATAGCTTGGTCTCTCGGTGGTTCCGGCACTGCCATATCTGTTTGACAAACCCGTGGAGGAGGCTGTAGAATGGACATTCTACCAAGCATTCAAGGCCATTGGCGGAGAAAACGCAGTCGGCAACAGACACAGTACAGGCAGAAAGGAGGCCTTGCAAGTTGAAGCAAAGATTCTCAAGGAAAAGAAGGACTTATAATGGCGCACCCAGGCTCAACGGGGGAAGAGGCTGTTTGACCTTCAAATATTGTTGTACACATTCGACTGTGTCTCGCATATAAAGCATTTCTACTCGATCTGTCTACCCTCCCATGACAGGTAGCCGTTGGCGGTCGTTACATGAGCGGTTGACCACCTACGAGCTGGTGAACAGCAGGTCGAGCAGATATAGAGTCTGTCCGCGTAACCAGAGGGAAATATACATCTACTCAACCTGACATTGTCGTCTCAATCCTCTGTCGCTCTACTCTCGAGATTTGCAATAGCATCCAAATATATGGCTAGCCTCATGTTTGGGGCCCCGGGCCGATGTCGGGTCGGTGGACAATGACCCGAAGGCGCGCAGGGACTCGATTGAAATTCCATGTGTTGCGGCGTAAATCTAATAATTTCTCAAGTTGACAATGGTCTTGCTCAGCAACACAGTCAGCTAGACGACGACGATCTCGAAACGATCGGGTACCTCTGCGCGATCTATCTGATACCCCACACGAGCTTCAACGCCCTCGAATTCAAGGTGCCACGGCTTCAATGCACGACGCGCAGGAGCCCCCGCCATCACCATGCCTCAGCCGCAGCAGCAGCAGCAGCAGCAGCAGCAGCAGCAGGAACCTCTGCTCGAGAACAAAGACAACGACAAACTCTCGGAGAAGCTGCCGGTTTGCTCGAAGGCGGTCTCTATCCCCAAACCCCACGTGCACCTCCCGTCGGTGGGAAACGTGTCGGTGGAGCAGAAGAAACCTGTGCAATGGAACACAAGGAATCTGGGGTTGCGACTGGGCGCGGATGTCACCTCTGCTGCAAGCGCCTCGGTCTTGATTGCTCCCATAATAACTGTCATTGACCGGTACGTGGTTCCGGAGAGCTTTGATACTTTCGATTGCGTGGGAGAGCGGAGCAGGCGGGCTCTTGCTACTTGACTCCAGACTTGGTCCTCGGGTCTGCTTGTTCGATGTCCTGCTGGGGTCCTGTCCGGGCCGGACGTTGGAAGTAGGTGCCACTAACAGCAAGGACCAGATCCATAGTTGAGAAGGCTGCGAATGGCGCCTCCTTCTCGTCCTGCCTCTGGCGATCCTTGCGTCCCGCGATCACCCGTCCACATACGTTCATTTTCTCCAGGCCGTTCCTGTTGATCTTCGCCTTGTACTTGTCAACCTACACGACAGCCAACGCCGTTGACACGCTCCACTCGACAGTTGCGTCCAAGCCAGCCTCTACAGTCTCTTCTGGCGCGACCAAGTTCATTGCGACCTCGTCGGTGAATATGAGCGCGTGTGTGTATAAAGACTCCTGCTTTGCGAGGATGTTTGGGGCCGCGTCCTCTTCCACGGGGGCAGCCGTTCCCAAGCTCTCTTACAGCCTCTTTGCCGTGCGGGATAGTTTGACGATCTTTGCGTCGTTCAATCTGCCGTCCATCATCGCGCCACAACTCGCGAACCTGCCTCTGGAGGTGAGGTCGCGGTTTTCTCGCATTCTCTCCACGGAGTCGGGCAGGATGAACACGGCCCAGTTTATGGCGCCGGCTGCCATCCAATTGATATCGACTCCGATCCACCTACTGGGATTGGATCTGTACAATAGACAGGGTCGGTTGGGTTTTAGAGCACGATATTCTCGGGTCGTGCGGGACTGGGGCGTCAGTGCTTTTGCTCGGATGGGAAGGATCATTGTGAGTCCATGACTATTCTGCATACGCTCCATCAGATTTCTACGTTGTGGAAAAAGGGATGTGGAGATCGGTAGCTAACCTGTTATCAAATCTACAGCCCGCGTTTGGCGTTGGTGGTGTCGTCAACGCGAACATGAGGAGGAATTTCATGACGAAAATCGAAGAGTTATGAGACCTATTCGACACCTGCAATGACTCTTACGGCGTTAAGGTTGTTTCTGGGCGGGCTATCTGCTACTATCCTCCGCATTTCGGATGACAACTTGTACGAGGTAGACCAAAAGTTGGGACAATGGGTTTATTTTCTTCTCGGATTCGGTCTCTGCGGCCTAGGGTGCCCAGGATGGTTACAACGCACGATAATGCTGGCAGTCATACATACGGTGGGCGTATGTCCTCTCGTGCTGTCGAAATGTCTCGACTCGGGCCAAGCCAAGGCTGAAGGAATGAGCCAGCTGAGGTGGATGTGATGTTATGTGATGACCTTGTGGATCTCGAGGATATGAAGCGACTCTCGCTGCAGCAGAACCAGCAAGGGCGTGCGTATGAAATCCGACTCTGAAATTTTGGGAGGTGTTCCTCTTGCCCTCCCTCTATAGATACTCGACTCGCCAGCTGAGGGGCGTGGCGTGCGCAGTAACACAATACAATTTGTGTGCCCAATCAACTCCCACAACTTTCTTTGGTACCTACGGTACTACGCCCCATAACTCTTCCTCACCTTCTCCCTCAACAGATCCAGTCCGACGGCCCTCCTCCACCACTCATCCCACCACCCAACGGGCCAGAAAGTGCAATTGTAGAACCAGGTGCGCCAGGCGCCCGTGCCGCGCCAGATCTCCACGGGCAAGCCACGGACACTCCTCTCAGAAGAGGCTTTATTCCACGGCGTGAGCACGTCTCTCACCACGTCGGCGGCCCATTTCTCCGGGTCCTCGCGGATGGGGAACGCGTTGCGCATCGCGCTCTCGGTCTGCTCGCGCACGGGCGCGTAGATGCTCCCGGGGGGCAAGCTGGCCCGTCCGTCCTGGTGGTTCGCGTGGAAGTGCGAGTGCACGCACCCGGTCTTGAGGTCGACGACGTGCACGCCGAACGGCTGCAGCTCGATGCGCATGTGCGTCGAGAACATGGCCGCGGCGGCCTTGCTGGCGTGGTAGGCGCTGTTGTGCGGCGTGGGCTCGACGGACGACACGGACGTGTTGTTCAGGATCAGGCTGGGAGGGGTCCGTGAAGAAGAAGAAGAATGAGTACAGGGTCGGGCGGCGTTGATTAGCAGTGGTAGGAATGCCTGCGTCACAGAGATGCAGGACCATACGTTCAGGTCGAAGAGGGCTTTGGCGTCCGGGATGGAAAGGTCTGCGACGGGCATGTTGTAGCCTTTTCGTGGATAGAAGTTAGTTCTTCCGTTACAGGCAGGTCGAGGACGAGGTGGACCGTTTCCATTCAAACAACATAAATCAAGGACGCAGGTTGGGGTGTATGGGGAAAATGCTTCCTGAGGAGGAGACAACAGGATATGGTGCTGGACATGCCAGAGTACCATCCCTCTATACTCCAGCCTTTCAAGACCTCAGAGCCTCCAAGAAAGAGCACAGCACCCACCCACCACAAAAAGAAAAAGACAACCTCAGCCAGCAGAAGAACTGACGCCCCCCTTGGAAAAGGCCAAGAGAAAAGAATAAAGACGTACCTCCGCCAGCATTATTCACCAAACAGTCGAGTCTCCCCTCGTCCTCGCCCTCCCACCGCGTCAACCGCCTAACGGCCTCGACGCAGCCCTTGATGCTCTCCTCATCCAGCACATCCAACGGCAAGCACTCGATCCCCAATTCCTCCAGCCGAGCCATCTTGCTCGGCTGGCGCGCCGTGGCGAAGACGCGCAGCCCGGCCTTGTGGAATGCGATGGCCAGTGCGTGGCCCAGACCGTGCGCCGAGCAGCCCGTGATCAGTACCGTTTTGCGCGTGTCATTTTGTACGGAGGCGGTCGTCATGTTTTGGGTGCAGTGGTCCGAAGAGCTCTGCGTGGGTGCGACGTGACGTGACGTGGCGTGTGATCTGCGATGGATACGCAATTCTCTTCTCTTGAGCTTTTGCGGTTGCCTCCACCCTCCTCTCGAGTCACTCCCAAAGGATCTTGTTCCTTTTGTGTACCAGGTGTGTGGTCGTCTCTTTGAAAATCTGTGTGTCTGTCGAGTATACCTAGTATGTATGTAGTAATGGAGGGCAGAGCTTCGACAGAAGGACGGCAGAGAAGACGTCAAGTAACCCGACTGATATGGGCTAAACCAACCGTGTAGCCAAAAGAGGAAGGTGGATGACTATTTTCCACTGCCATGTCAGCTCCCCTTTCTCCAGCCTTGTGACCTTCCAGAACAATATAAGTGCTTCGCCTGATACGATAACAGGAGCGGCAGTCGAAGTGTCCGAGGCTAGATAATGCCGAGTACACGTCTTCATGTATTTGTAGAGGAACCTTTGAGAAAACTGAGGTATGGGGAGTAGAGTCGCTATAATAACAAGACAAACTAAAACCAAGAGCGGATCTGGTATATACATTATAATGATAACTTTCCTCCAGCGCCGCCTACACGTCACCCCGCAAGAGACCTATATCTGACACTGGTGCTTCCATCGTCGCATTATTCTTCGTATCGGTAAACAGTTCCAATCTGGACAAACCCGACGGCCACGACCTCTGCAGGCCTTACCGGGAACTCTCTGTGCTAAAGATTCCCGGTCTTTGACCTGTTAGGACAATCCGTTTTCTCGGTCCCTGGACATCTCCATTATCAATCCCTCTTTGTTGTTGGTTATGAGCACTAAGCCCTTCTGCAACAAAACCAATCGAGTAGGCACCAAAACCGAGCGCAGCCAGAGTCAACACCATGTACTTAACTCTGGTCATGAACCGTTTCAAGAGACCCTCGTCCTGTGTATCACGACTGCCCCTGACCGAGTCTGATGCTGCGGACTTTTCGTCTGGCGCCTGAGGAGGCGACGAGGATGACAACGCATTCGGACGGATGGTTCCAGAGAACACATTCTCCTGCCTTCGCACTCTTGGCTGATTTCCAGGCGGACGAGATACGGGGGCTCTGGGAGCTGCTGGGCCAGGGACCGGGTCCAACTCGGTTGGCAGCTCGTCCAACACTGTGGCAGCTTCTTGATCTGGTCGCCGGGAGGAAATATCAACTCCAGGTGTAGATGTTTTCTCTTTTGCAGCCTGCATCATACTCGAAGTTGTGACGTGTTCTGCTTGCTTCTTCTGGAAAATCAACATGTTATCAGTTCCATTGTACAACGAATATCCTGCTCTCTGCATGGTTTGGAAGTGCTTCAGGAATTCCGGCGCGTTTTTAAGGCGGCCCAAAATCCCGATGACATTGTTGGACTTGGGCAATTCGGTGGTCGGTTGATTCATAGGAGAGAAGTTGATCCTCTCAGCCGCGGTGTCGTACGTAAGAATGAGATAGGGAGAATCGAACTTTTTAATTTTCATGCTTTCGATTGGCGGAGGTTGCTCATCGTTCCACACAGGTGATCCTGAGGGGGTGTGGACCGGTTCCGGAACCGTTTTTGGTTCCTCCTCCTGTTGAGGCTGTGCGATCGTTTGCGTGTCAGCATCGCTGTTTGTGTTCTGTTGAAAAACGCTCTCAGTCGGAGCTTCAACCGCGTCGTCGCCTTTCTGCACTTTAATGTCAATCCTCTTCTTACCAAAGTCGGAGCCTGACAACTGAGGAGCATTCCAAGCAGTAGCGGGTCTCCCGCTTCCAATCCGTCTTATCGTATTCTGAGCTTCGTGTAGTTCTCTTCTCACTTCTTTTGCCCCTTGCATGACGTCGCTCAGCTTGTGAAGAGGCGGCTTCACTTCCTCTGCCTGTTCTTGCACTTCTGCTTGACATGAAGCTTGACGGAAACCCGCAACCTCCTGAGCCTTGACCTCGACATCACGAAGCTCGGCACGGATCTGCTTCGCCTCATCCACCAGGCTCGCGAACTTAGGCTCGAATTTGCCTATATGATTATCAATCACTGGGTTTGTGGTAATCCCTGGTCGGACACTCGCGGTAGAAAGCGGGTGAGGTTTACCAACGTCGCGCTCAGAAGTGCTGGAGGCAGAAGCCACAGTTCTGGCCTCTGGGGAAGATTGTGCTGGCTGCCTGTGTTCAGCATTGATGGGTCCATATTCGCTTTCGTAGACAGCCTGTATATCTGCAGCCAGCTGCGACATCTGGGCCTTTTTCAGTTCCTCGTCCTTCTTCGCGTTCTCTGTCGCCTCACGCAAGTCAGCTGTGCGTTGCAAGGCTTTGCTTTCATCAGCGAGGACTGTGTGTGAAGGTGTGAAAGTCGCCAAATTTTGGGGCTTGATGTTGGACTTGTAAATGGACGGAGTTTTCTGTAGCGATTCGTCTTTAAAGACGAGCTTGTCGGTCAATCCCTTTACGGCATCGTGCCGAACATACTTCTTGTAATTCTCGTTCAAGTTCGTCATGGAGTTCATCGTTTTGGCTACGATTCCATTGGGATACTCCCGGATGTGCTCCCAGACATTATTGAGGGTTTTGGTCAATCTTTTAGTCGGAGTTTCGAGCTTTGGCGTCTTGGGTGAGACGATGCTTTCGTTCGCGGCATCTTGCTGTCGAGCCTCAAAGTCCGTTTCGAGTCTTTCTCTGGCTGTCCTCTTCGAGTCTCCAGCCTCCGTTTTCTCACTTGTTAAAGTCGCCGGTACGTCATTTATTCCGACTTGTTTCTCTATAAAAGGGGTGGACTGCGGCGCTGCAGATATTTGCCGATCAAGAGCAGTCTGCAGCCGTGGTGACTTCCCAGTTTGATCGAGAGCAGTCTTTCTGTTCACTCTTTCGAGGGCCGGCTCAAGCTTGTTCTTGGTTACGCTGATTGCTTCATTGACCGAAGAGCCATGTGAATTTGTGGCATTTGCAGAGTCCTCGTTTCGTTCACGGAAACCTTCTCTAGACAGCCAATCCGAAGCATTGGTCTCGGCTTCTTTGCGAGCTCTTGCTTCGTAGGTAGTTCCTGAGAACAGCGGGAGAGTGTCGTCCGGCTCAGGCGATTCTCGGGGCATCTTAAGAGCAGTGGTATCGCTCGTGACAGTCTCTGACTGTGATTGTTCGCTAAGCTCTGTGAAGAGAGCAGTTGTGTCTATGTTGTTACCCTTGGCCCGGGACATCAAGTCCCGGAGTTCCTCTTTCCTCGAGCTGTGGAAGCCTTCTGTTTTTGTACTTGGAGCTGGATGATCATCACTCGGGTTCTTGTCCGAAGCACCATAGCCGTAGACCCTGTGGGATTTATAGGTCTTGACTGGTATATCAACTCCATGTTCCTGGAAGAACAGGCTTTTCAAGAATGGCTGCTTCGAGTGCTCGTCAGACGACGCTTTATCTTCTTTGGGTCGCTGAGGTTGCCTTTCGGGCTCTGGCACTGCTGAGGACTGCACTGGTCCAGGCTCTTCCTTCCGTCCAGGTTCTGCGGAACGCTTCTTTATGGGAACTTTTCTCATGGAGATTGGGTCGTATTCATATTCTTCCTCGCCAACGTCAATAGTCGACTTCCTTACCTCTTGCTTGTCTGGCTCTGTTTCGAAAGAAGACGTTCTCGTTTCTGCTGCCGCATTGGTAGCCACACTTGGAGCAGGGCTTGGCTCTTCAATATTGTGCTCCTTTTTGATCTCCTTGGGGTCGGAAAACCAAGAGAAAGATGTCCATGATGAATTGTTGACTGACGGTGGACTCTGGAGCCGTCTCCCGAACAGAGTTCTGTATGGATCTCGTGCTATAGCACGGTCAACAGCCTCTCGGAAAGCATCAAAGTCTTTGTATATGGTCTGAGCATGATTGTCTTGTTCGTTATCAGGCTCTTTTGGTCCTTGGCTGGATGCCCCTGTAGAAGATAATGGCTTATAGTCGCAATAGCGGTGGGCCCAAAGGCGATGGTGACGCAATGGTCGAACATATGCATCTTCTGACTCCCATAACGCTCTCCTCCGAAGTACTTTGTAGTATCTTGATTTCATAATTTTGTGATGTCTTCTGGCACGCTCTTCAAAGTCCTCTGTGGGGGACCAGGGGCTCCCTGTCTGCCGTCCCCACCACCAGAGTGTTCGCACTTGGACTGCACTGACTCGAGGGGCGCGAGAGACATCGGCTCTTAGACGTAGGACCCTCATATTGGCAGAAAGGGAGTCTGTTCGAAAAGAGGCCATTGATACTCGGGTTGACTCGTCTCGAAGCTCACGGTGTTGCCTGCGTTGAGTAAATAGTGGTTCTGACTGGAGGGGCTGAGATAGCGAGGGCCTGGAGTGAAATCCGGAGAGTGCTGAGGATGTAGGCGAACTCGATGAGGTGGCGGTGTCGCCAGAGAGCAGCTCGGTATCGTTCGTGGTCAGAGGACCAGCAATGGCGGGCCCGAATCCGACCGTATCATGTAGACATGAGGACGCACTTGACGATATGGAGGGCTCTCGGCCTAAGACAAGTGATGGTCTCGACGTCTTTTGTGGTCAAGAAAGTGATGGATGACAATCATAGCAACGCATTGAAGGATGACCAATTGGCTAGGCAGATCTAGCTTGGGTGCATTGGTGCGTAGAGTGAGCATGGGTGACAGAGGAGCACATGGAGGGGTAGTGGACGAGTTAGCGCAGCCAGGCGATAGCGACACGTACAATGCGGGATGCGGAGAAACCGCGTTCCGCCGAGCCACCAGAGCCACTGTGGAGCGGACTGGACTTGCTGACTTGGTAGATCAGCTCTCCCTCTCGCGTCATGACCGTGGCAGATATATCATATGGCTTTGGGGTAATGTGCTGTGTGTGTGCTCAACAATGGCGTATGTCCTATCTTTCGAAATACACCTGCAACACGGCCTCCTCATCGTCCCAAACCATCGCTCTATCCAAATTGACCTAACATCATATTCAGCCCGCAGAACAACCGAATCGCTTCTAAGGTGGAATGAGATCCAAACGGTAGCTCAAGAGGGGGACATAAAATCATATCTTACAACTCGTTCACTCGTCGCCCCTTTTCTTGGTGATGGTGTCCACGACCCTGCCGTAAAATTTGGCTGCGTTGTGTCTTGCAAAAGTGATGTCTTCGGTCAGATAGCTAGGCATTATCTTCATCATCTCTTGATCCCGGTCGCGGTCCAGCAATGGTGTGTACAGGTACTCCGTTTCCTCGAAACTCATACCCTTTGCAATTTCCTGGTCAATAAACAGTCTGAAATGCAACGCTGTCTGATTGTTAGCTTGTGAACAAATGAACCATAGGTCAGACTCACTCCCGTTACGACCAGTCTGGATGCATTCGTATGTGTCACCGTCTTCTGTCTTTTTCACGTTGAGGATAACAAGTCCTGTAAGGTCGCTGTACAGGTCCTCCTTCATTTGTGCTATCTGCACAGCCTGAGCAGCTTCTCCCGGGAGATGACGTTGTGTAGAACTTTTCATCGCGCTGCTAGGAGGTTTCGGGTTATCAACCGACGATGCTCGTGCTGCTACCAGCTTGGCTTGTAGTCCTTTGATCTCGTTTTGAGCATCGGCCAGAGAGGTTGAAAGCTGCAAGGATGTGTCGCGCATTCGTTCCATCTCTGCTTCCTGGTTCTGTACCTGTTTGCGGAGCATGCGTGCCTCGTGCGCTAGAGGGGCTTGCGTGGCCAACTCCTTCCGGAGTGATGCTATTAGGTTATTCGATGCCTGTACACTCGCCTCACACTGCTTGCGGAGCTTCTCCATATTCGCGTTCGCCTCGTGTATGCCCACTTCTTTGAGATTACGGTACTTCAAATCCACGTTCTCGAACTTGCGGGTGATATCTCCTAGCTTGCGCCGGAGGTTAGGATCACCTCGTTCGGTGTCAGACGCACTTCCTGCCCGCCGTCGATAAGGCGGATCCTGCCTCGTTCTCGATGTATCTCTCGCAGTCGCCCTGCCTTTTGGTGCCATAGCAACTTCCGATTCTTCCCCAATCTCTTCGCTCTCCTCGTGAGGTGTTACCACTGCAGAAGATTGAGGTTGAAGAGCCATTTTCGGTTTTGTAGAAGTGCTTATTTTGGCGGAGATCTTTGGAGCTTCCCTCTTCGTGCGAGATGCGGCGTGTTTCGAGCGCACTGCCACGGGTGATACTTCTCCATTCTCTCTCCACACATGTTCATTCTCGGCCGTCTCTGCAGCCTCATGCGCTGTTTTCGCCTTGGTTTTGGCGCGCTTCCCCCTTTTAGCTTTCGGCGCGGTTGATGATATCTGCGCCTCGGAGTCTCTCAGCGTCTCATCGAGGTTACCATTGGAATCTTGGTCGGCTGTGTGATCTTCGACCGCCTTGCGCTTCACGCCAGCAGTTCGTCTCGAAGAGAGGGTTTTGGCGTCTGATGCAGCGCTCTTTTCTGATTTCGACTTTGCTTTTGAGGGCATTGTGACGCGCTGCCTTTTTTGGCCGCGTTTTGTCTGCGTCGCTGTCGCGGTGGTAGTATTGGTCGCGTCGGAGGCAGAAGACAGAATCGAATTTTCGTCGATAAAAGGTACCGCTTCCTCCATGTCGGAGTCGATCAGGTCCGCAATGCCCTTCATATCAATGTACGATCAGTAAACGTCGGCCACGATGGAAGTGCAACAGGGCCGTTTGAGAGGCTGAATAGAATCCGAACAGGAAAGTGATGTAAACAAAGCGGCCCTGGCCACCAGCCACCAGTGGAGTTGGATTTTAGGTTAGCCTCGGAAATCCCACTAGCCACAGTTGAAGTGGCAACTCAACAGGATAGCATCATCACAAGACGAGTCGTCTGGTGTCGTCGCTTTTTCATATTATCAACCTCGAGCATTTCATGTATCTTCCAACTGTATCTTCCGTCGCCCAGAAGTCCTTCCGATGATGTCTCCTGATAGAGGCGATGTCTGGTGGCATCGAGTGCTGCAAGAGCTGGCTATTACAGTCCCGTTGGTATGTTTGCATGTTGGCTCATCCATGGTCCTTGCTAACACATAGCAGATGTTTGGAGGCTACTATATTATTAAGTATGCCCTCGCACAGATAAATCTCGACCCAGAGGCGGAACAGAAAGAGCAAACTCGCTTGCAATCCGCCGCAATATTACGACGACTGGATAATCCGCAACAGAACCAGCTTGCCAAACGATCCCCTGCGGAACGAATACCGAAAGAAAATCTACGTCTGTCTCAATATGAAGAAGTCATCCTACAAGAGCTAGTGTTTCCAGAGGATATACCTGTGTCATTTGACGATATTGGGGGCCTATCAGATATAATAGAGGACCTCAGGGAGTCAGTCATATATCCTTTGATCTTACCCGAACTCTACTCAACGACTTCCTCCCTACTGGCGGCGCCTTCCGGTGTTCTCTTATATGGCCCTCCCGGTTGCGGGAAGACCATGCTGGCCAAGGCTCTTGCGCATGAGAGTGGTGCATGCTTCATCAACCTACATATATCGACTGTTACAAACAAATGGTTCGGCGATTCCAACAAACTGGTCAACGCCGTCTTCTCTCTGGCTCGCAAGCTGCAACCGGTGATTGTCTTCATCGACGAAATTGACGCAGTTCTGGGCACGCGACACAGTGGCGAGCATGAAGCAAGCGGCATGGTCAAGGCCGAGTTTATGACGCTGTGGGATGGGTTAGCTTCGGCCAACACTTCTGGTCAGCCACAACGAATTTTGATTCTTGGAGCCACCAATCGCCTCCACGATATTGACGACGCTATCTTGCGACGCATGCCCAAAAGGTTCCCCATCTCGCTGCCCAATGCCTCTCAGCGCCTCAAGATCTTGAAGATCATCCTTCGAGATACCAAGTTTGACAAGGAAAATCTCGACCTCGAATATTTGTCAAGAGTCATGGCGGGAATGTCAGGAAGCGAGATCAAAGAGGCTTGCCGGGAAGCAGCAATGGTGCCTGTCCGTGAGATGATCCAGCGGCAGAGGGACAGTGGGCAGCGTATGGAGACTATGAAGGCAGGAGATGTCCGAGGTCTTTGTACTGCCGACTTCTTCCTGAAAGCGCGTGCGACCAAGGAGGCTGCTCAGGCCTCAAAAGGAGACAAAGACGATAGGGCATGGAGCACTGAGTCATCATCTCCAATCGCTGACGATGTGGAAGACGCCGCGGAAGAATTGCATCAACCGGATTAACAGTGGTCGGTCTCGGTATTTTCTCGGACGCGACAAACTGCGATGTTGCACTCCCTCGTAACTTGGCGCAGCGCAATAGCATGTCGGACGAAGTCAGGTGCGGGTTGAATGGATAGTTTAGGGCTGGGCTAAAGTGTTATTATTATACCTAGAAGAAATACATACATGAATGGACTAGCTAGCGGCCAGCCATTGGATTGCGCACAGGCACAATAGAAGGAGAACACAACGCGACGAGAGGGCAGATCGAAAATCAACCGGAATGCTCTTCCCATTTTGACTGGTGCATGAAATCAAATCGGCCGAGTTATTACGAGTAAGTGCTTGTAGGAGTCGGTAGCATGATATCGTAGCGCAGCCCCGGAACCCCGCAAAGATCAAGGGACTGGTGGGTTCGGAGTGCGTCTAAAGCGCAACAGGGGGATATGGGGAGGGGGAATGAAGGTGGGTAGGTACATGTACGTCGGCAGCCGTGGCAGCCCTCTTGCAGGGCTTGTAGGCGGGTTGGCTGGACAAATTACGGAGGATCCGGTACGGAGTTACACAGTATTGGGATGGCCATGGGGGGTAGGCGATGCTGCATGGGCACACTAAAAATTTCCCTTGGGCGGACCACTGACCAGCCCTGGCACCCACCACCAGGCGAGTAGTGCGGAAGACGGGCAAGACAACAGGCCCTGGCACTCATGTGCTCTCAGTATCCCAAGAACCACCAGATCGTCTTCTGCAGGAACCCTGTCTCTTCGAGTCCAATTTTTTGAAGCCGACCTTGTCACCGCCTTGTCCATTTTCCTTGCGACCGTCGCCTGTCGTCTGTAATGCACCTCTGCTTTCTAAACAAGCGTAAATTCCTTACTCGCTGCGTTGTGGTCTGAGCCAGCCTGCAGTCATGAGTGATTTGAGCCCGCAGTCCGAATCGCAGGCACCTGCTGCATCAGCTCCATCGCAGGCATCTAGCGACCAGCCCGCCACGAACAGCGCGCCTGCGAGTCAAACACCAGGCCATCCAAGCTTCAGAAGGTATACGATTGTCGCGAGCATTCTGTTTTCATTGACGCAATACGCTAACACGCCTCGCAGACAGCGCGCATCTCGAGCATGTGGTAAGCTCACCTCCTCTTCCTGAAAGTCCTTTTCACCTTGCGACGAGACGTGGATTGCGGTCAGGATGGGATCTGGTTGCTCGCGTAATGGATGGTCTTTGCCTCTCTCGCGAGTTGAAAGAATGTCATAAACGATCCTGCGGACATGGTCAGCTTAATACTTTGGTCCCTCTGGAGATCGCGATAAACCGAGAACCTCGGTCCAAATGTGGTACTCTGTGATCGATCTGGTCGCTGGCAGTTGGAGACTTCCTGAGACACCATCGTGATCCAATGAGCATGTGAATACACGTCGAGGAAAGAGGTTTCCAATATTTGTTGAAGACATCGCTGACGCATTTGCTGTGTAGAAACATGTCATGCCCGCAAAGTACGTTTGCCATGCCACCACCGTACCAAAGGAAGACTGCGAAACTGGATCGAGTTCTAACATTTCCTCTGGATTAGGTACGATGCGACGCAGCGTCTCTCGGGTGAGAACTATCTATCTGCCATCGTCACCGCTGATCGTTGGTCATTGACTGTCTCTAGGGTTCCATGTACAAATTGTGTTGCCTTTTCTATTGAATGCCGGATTCCCGTGCCCAAGCGGAAAAGGGCCAACGCCGCCCGTGCCAAAGATGAGGAGAGGTAAGGTCATTGTCATCACTTGAACCCCCCACGAACCTCGTCTCCTAGTAGCTAGCTACAGTACCCAGCAATACTGACGAGCACTGCAGTGAGGCCGGCGACTCGCAACAGGCGGCGACACCTTCCGAGCCTCGCCCCGCGCGGCCAGCACAACCAAAGCCGACTGTTGGATACAATTCACCCGATGGCATTCCCTCGACACAGATGTCAGAGGCGCAGGCCGCCCAACAAGCTGCCAACAACAGCACCATGGCACAGTTCATGAAGCCCAAATTCGCTCGAGCCCCGATTAAAGAAGCTGGGCGAGTAGCCTATCTTGGAGAGTCATCAAACCTGTCACTCCTTGTCCATGACCGCCATGGCACCACAGATGTTGTTCACTATCCCTTGCCGGAGAACATTAGAGGCGCCCGCGCTCGCCTAACAGAGCCTGACCAGATGGAAATAGAGATCCTTCAGCAGAGGGGTGCATTCCTTCTCCCACCCCGTGCGCTGTGTGACGAGCTGGTGGATGCTTACTTTCGATGGGTTGCTCCTATCGTGCCAGTCATCAATCGAAGCCGCTTTATGAAGAGATATAAGGATACCAAGAACCCGCCATCGTTGTTGCTGCTGCAGGCTATCTTGCTGGCTGGTTCCAGAGTCTGCACCAACCCGCAACTGATGGACGCAACCGGCTCGACCACGCCGGCTGCAATGACTTTCTACAAACGGGCAAAAGCTCTATACGATGCGAATTATGAGGATGATCGCATCACCATTGTCCAGGCTTTGATTCTGATGGGCTGGTACTGGGAGGGCCCCGAAGGTAAGGCATCAGCGGCCACCGAATTTACCGACAACCCTCGATCTAACATTGCGGCAGATGTGACAAAGAATGTCTTTTACTGGACCAGGGTCGCCATTGTGGTTGCCCAGGGGGCGGGAATGCATCGAAGGTACTTGGAAACCGCCCCCCTTATTTCCGGAGCTAACTAATAGTCTTCAACAGTGTGGAAAGTTCTCAACTTAGCAGACAAGATAAGCGTTTGTGGAAGAGAGTATGGTGGTCGCTCTTTACTAGAGATCGATCAGTAGCCGTGGCTCTAGGCCGACCTGTGTCGATCAACACGGACGATTCCGACGTGGAGATGATCACCGAGGAGGATTTTATCGAAGATGAGGGCGATCCGAACAATGACTACCAGGCCGACCCGGTGCACATTCAGTTCTTCTTGCAATATGTCAAGCTCTGCGAGATCATGGGACTTGTGCTGTCTCAGCAATACTCGGTCGCCTCAAAAGCTCGACGGACCAACGCGATCGACCTGACTCACAGCGATATGGCTCTTGCAGACTGGCTGCAAAACTGCCCTCGTGAAGTATATTGGGAACGCTCACGCCATCATTTCTGGTCTGCGCTTCTGCACTCCAACTACTAGTAGGTGTGTCGCATCCGCAACTTGGATCATACGCTGATGATTTCTCAGTACCACTCTGTGCTTGCTGCACCGAGCCCACATGCCGCCAGCCACTGCAAAACCCCATGACTATGAAAATGTCGACATGGCTTATCCTTCGAGGACAATTGCTTTCCAGGCTGCTGGAATGATCACTTCAATCATGGAAAACCTTCTTGCTCACGACCAAGTCAAATACACGCCTGCTTTTATGTAAGTTGGTGATCTTAGACATTAGTACGCTCGCTAAAGCTTGTTGCAGTGTGTACAGTCTGTTCTCTGCGCTCATTATGCACGTCTACCAAATGCGTTCTTCAGTGCCGTCAGTGGTAGCTGCAAGTCAGGAGCGCATCAATGTGTGCATGAACGCCTTAAAAGAGGTGTCGAAGGTCTGGCTAGTTGCCAAAATGGTTCACACCTTGTTTGAGTCCATTCTCGGTAACAAAGTGCTGGAGGAGAGGCTCCAAAAGGCCACCGGGAAGAAGGCTCAAAGAGCCAAAGTCAACCAACGGGATCAAGGTCAAAACCACGCCAACGGCAATTCAAATGGCATCGGAAGTGCCACCCCTGCACCCGCACCGCCGCCGGTGCCGCCGGCAAATCCAGCCAAACGCAAGTTCGACGATATCGACCTCGCCTTCAACGTTGGACCGCCTGCCCCTCAAATGTCCTACGAGCGTTCGCGGCCTCAAACCCCTGCCGTCACGCCTTCTCGCGATATACCACAACAACCACAGCACAACTTCTTGGCCTCGCCTCCGCTGCAAAATGAACAGTACTTACCACCATCCAGGTCTCGAGGGGCGTCACGCTTGCCGTCAAGAGGCCCTACGCGGGCCAACTCTCCATTCAACGGATATTCGATCCCTGCCACACCGCCGGATCTGTTCCTAGTCACCAGAGATTCACCAAACATCTCGCAACAGCTGTGGGAGAATTTCCAGCCAGATCAGCTATTTCCTGACGGCACAATTGGAGATGTGATTGGTCTGAGCACAAGCCCCATTCTCAACCATGCGGTGGATCCTCAACTACAGCAACTACAGGGACAACAGACCGGGATGAGCACAGGCGGACAGTCTATGCCTCATATAGATATATCAGGGCAGGGACAGCAGCAGAGTCAAGTATGGCCTCCAGGAATGCAAGGAATGATGGGTGCAGGCATGGAATTGCATGACAGTGACGGGTGGTCGACTAGTTCACTCGGGAATGCGCCAGTCGCCCCTACAACGCTCAACGTTGAAGACTGGTTCCAGTTTTTTGGGATCAATGGTGAAGTGGCAGGCATGAACATGGACGGAACCTAGCGTGTCAGCTCAGAGTTGGTACAGTGCAAGACACAATGCACGCACGCCGTTTCGGACACGTGATTGCCAGGACATCTCTGCCTGGAAAAAGCCGGAGTTCAGGACATATTTCCGCCTCGAATATTGAGGGGCTTGATGAATGGAAGGGTGGACATTGAACGGTGCTATAACCATGTACAGCCATGTAGATTCAAGACGAAATGACGGGCGTGTGCGAATGTGATGATACAAAGTCTTGCACACCTTATGGGAGTATTCTCAGTAGGAAAAAATGGAGTCTGGAGTTGTTAAGAATCGAAGGTCTAGAACCAGGAAGATTTGGAGACTTTCAGGCTGGTGAGGCTTCTGATCTCCCCGGGAACCTTCGACACAGACCACTCAGCCATGCGTTCGTTGAAAACAGAGAGACTTTCCTTTTCATCTGAGCCCCATTCAGCTCGCATGCTAGAGTCCATGCTATTATTCGCTCGCTTCGAACTTCTCGCAAGAGGCTTAGTTTGCCCAGTTGCGCGGATTCAGATGATTGGCGCAGTCTGACTGGTTGTGTGGTTTTTGACCTGAGTTGAATGGAAAGTTACTGGACGTGTGAGTGCTTGGCCCTTTGACTGATTGGGTTCAACTCACCTTTTTTGAGAAGTGAGTTGAGCGTTTTATTGGCAGCCTTGATGCCTGGGCTGACATTTTACAGGTACCTTGTACTTGTTAGGCTTTCTGTGCGTTACATCCCACCCGAAGAAGCCAAAAACACAGCCCACTGGTGTTGTTGTGTGACAGCCTCCTACGCAATATCCCGACGAGCAGGTGCTCTGTACCTACCCACACACCTATGGTAGCATGAACCATGGCCCCCTGCCCCCCTCCCCGCGGAATTCTAATCGAGTACCCCCCCTCTCGCATCTTTTCTTTTTCCACCCACCTGACGAGGAATGACGAACGCGTACCTTTCCAAGGAAACAGCCGCAACGGTATGGCGCAGTCTGCGCGTATTAGCCTGAATAATAGTGTAATGCGACTGGATCAGGCAACTCTACGAACGAGGTGGAGAACAAGAACACACAGTGTTAGTGACAAGTTCTGGGTCTCGGGTCTAGGCCCTTGAGGGCCGTTTTCATCATCATCGTCATGGGTGATTTTGAATTTCTGATGCGACATCTCTCATACATACATAGATCCAATACTACTACAACACCAAAATAACGGTGCGGAGGGTTGGATGTTTCTATAGAAAGAAACATGGGGTGGAAAGTCACTCGTTGTGATGGGGGAGAGTGTGTGGATACTGAGCATGTTCTGTGAGTAAAGTGAGTTGGTATGAAGAAGCCCTCTTGTCTATATAGACCTGTTGGTGTATCGAGACATTCAGCAACACAAGAGATCATCCAGCTTTATCAATCAAGAGACACAGAAGAACAACACTTCATCAGGACACATACTTGGAAAGTACGCAAAACACTCGCACTCAAACACGCACATATACTTTTCACAAACTTCCAACCTTCACACTTATTTGCCCTTTCTTGACTTGACAAAATCCATCACAATGTCAGCAGCGGTCCTCTCCATGTCCATTGCACCCGTCATCGTCTCAAGCACGACGGGAACCACGATGCAAGCCCTCGATAATCTCGCGGGTCAACCCTCCGGCATGGCCACCATGATGGCAGCGCACTCCGACCAGAAGACCGCAAGCAAGAAGAGGCATTGGTGGTCACGATTCCGACGGGGCAGACCGTGCCGCGAGATGAAGACACTGGACACGGCGCACCCGAGCCGCAGCTCAAGCTGTGGTCCGACACCACTCAACGATGATATGTTCCCCAGGAGGATTCACACCAACACTTCTTCTCAATCCGCGCCTTCGCTGCGCATGCACCGGACCCGGGACAGCTTCGGCGACGAGGATAATACCATGACGAAGCCGCCCGTCGAGATCACCATCACCGGTCCGGACTCGACCCTGGCTTCCAGAATGGAGTCTTCCTCGCGAGAAAGCAGCAGCAGCAGCAACAGCGTCACCTCGGACATCACGCGCAGCAGCACAACCGACAGTGTCTGCTCGAGCATGTCGTCGATATTCGAGAGCAGAGGCCGCACCTCTTCCGGGCGAGGCAAACGGCAAGAAGCTCTGGGCACCAAGGCCATGACGAAGGAACAGAGCAAGTTGGCAAAGTATCGCGCACGACAGGATCTCTATCAAGATCGCTCGCTCGATACCCTGCTCTTGGCCAACGCTTTCATCGTCATGTAAATATTGGATACATGGTCGCGTTACCTGTTCTTTGTTGATCACCTATCTATCGTCAGTCGGGAGTATGGAAATAGCAAAGCATGGACGAGGCGTTTGGGTGTCTGATCTCTCCTCGCATACAGGTATAGGCATACAGGACAATAAATTCATCCCAGCGAGGGATTTTATGACTTACCCGGACCGTTTTTCTCCAAATATTCCTTATGGTTGCTGGTCTTGCCGTGATCTGTGCTATCTCTTTCCTTTGAGGAAACGTGGACCGGATCTCATCATTTTCATGTTTCACGTCCTCAGCACCTTCGGTATTGTCGCTGCACTGCATCTGGCAAAGGCGTCCACCATGCCCTCCATACCGGGCCATTGCTCTTTGCACCAGGAAAGTAGTACCAGGCAGTCGTTGGACAGACCAAGCAGGTCAGAGAAGTCGAGCTTCGGCTCTCCATTGCTCCCCATCTCCACATCCCGGTGTGCTTCGGGAGTGAGAGGGGAGGGCGTTCGGATCTCGACAACCGCAGCAGCGGGCTCGAGAGAGAGAAGAGCGTAGGATATGAGTGTCATACCTGCCTGGAAGATCGAGTACGCGACGAGGAAAGTGATGGGGAAGATGGAAACCGGGGACTTGGATGTCGTCGTCGAGCGAATAATGAGGGTGTACAGCCTCAGCAAAATCTTCGAGGAGTGGTAGGGTTCCGAACCGATGATAATCGGGGGGTTCGACCGGGTCAAGCTCTGTTGTGATGCATCGTTGTTCCACCGAACGGCGCCCAGCGCCTCAAGAAGATGGCGCTGGAAGAGGAAGAGAACCGACGAGTGATACATGATGTCGCGTGTGACCTCGCTCACCCCTGCGACATTCTGGCCGTCGTTGATGTAGGGTCTTGGGCTGTGACTCTGGTACCATTGTCGCAACGCGGCGTGTTGCTCGAGGAACCAGCTCGGCTGTGGAAGCGGGCTGCTGGCCGAAAGGTATATCTCCGTGTATATCTCTGATCGAAGGAACATTAGATGAAATCCATGAGCCGCCGAGGCCTTTTGTCTCGATTCGTCGTCCAAGAGCGTCGGGTCTGTGAGTACGGTCGGATACTCTGTGGTGATGATAGAAGTGGGCAGATCTGACGGTCGACCGAAACATTGCCCTACCAACCGTTCGATGGAGTAGAGGCTCCAGAACGCTGTTCGCCTCCAGGTCTTTTCATCTTCGCTCTCCAATGCTGAGTGACCCTGCTCGGTGTGGTAGCCCAGCTGTATGCTCAAGCGGCAGGCAAAGTCGAGAATCTTCCAGATATTGCCTTTGCGGGGGTTAAAGAGACAGTAAATCACGAGGAGGAGGAGCGCTTCGAGGGACTGCAGTGACACCTCGGCCGTGACTTCTTCAACATACCTCACTGCCTGCGCATAGAACTGATTGCCGTACGCCACGAGGCTGGGACTGTGCCGTGCCTTGGCGGCGCAGGAGATGGAGCACATCATGGCGATACGGAAACATTGGTATTTTTCGGTCCGCTGCACCTTCTCTGCGTCGAACTCCAGGGCTCCGCTCGTGGCCAGGAATCGATCAATGTCCTTTTCGAGGTGAGTTCCGACGATGCACGGATGGATCACATTGATGGACGCCATGTAGTCCGTGATAAGGGACTGGACAAAGTCCCTTCCCGTATCAAAGACGGCTGTGGGGGCCACGGCATCCAAGTCTCGATCATGGCCGTCTTGTGGCGAAAGCAGAGGCTCCAACGGGTCCGAAGGCGTGAAGAGCTTCTTGTCGGAGGCCAACGCGAGAACCTCAACTGCGAGCGCAAATACCGAACTTGAACCGTAGAACCGGGACGTCAAGCCATTGACGCTGGGGACGGGAAAATGGTTGTTGAAGTCTCCCCCGAGGTCAGTATCGGCTATTGATTCTGCGAGGGACGGAGAGGCTCTTGGCACTTGATGCGCCTCCAAGCCACCTGGAACGGTCTCGGAAAGGTCTTGTCGGCCTGCATCGGCCCCTTGTGTGACGGTGGCGTATTTTGCCTTGAGGCTGTCCAGGCGTGTGACGAGAGACTGGATATACCTAACTCAAGTCAGAGACAGGGCCAATCATTCACTGTGCCAGAGTCAGAGTCACGTACTTCCGTGACAACGTCTGCTGTAGTGCGTGATCGAAAATGGTACAGTCGACGTCTGCACTCTGGCAAAGACGACAGGCCGGCATTTGGGGGTCACATCTCTTCCTCAGCCGCCGACACCGTTGACAAGACGGCAGCGACTGCAGCGCGTAGTCTAGTTCCTCCATGAGTCTGTAGCGGTTCTCGCCCGGACAAAAGTCTGCTCATCTCCGTGATAGAAGTTGTCCGTATATTTGCATGAGTAATGAACAAAGATACTCTCATCCGTACTCATACCAGAGTGTCTTGGTTATCAAGTTATCAAGATATCAGACTGATTGGGACTAGCCCACCCCACCAGGCTCTCCGGGCCGGCAGTCACGTGTAAAGACACTAATACGGAATAAGAAACGTTGCCGACTACAGGTTTCTTGGCTCTTTTGTCCCCTTTGATTCTCTCGCTGCGTTTTTCCTCCGCTCTCAATGCCGTTCGCAATTCTTCCCCGTCGACAACAGCAATATACTTTGCTTCTACCAACTCTATCCTGTCGAAGCTCAGCGCCAGTGTCGCTCTTGGTATATAAAGACATGTAGGAGAACCGCGCCGGGACCATGGGAGAACAAGCACTCTTTGACCTGCCAAGCTTTCGCGAATGTCCTAGATCGGTGCTTATCACCAATACTCCTTTATCTACCCCATCTCGGTTGGCAGGCGAGCTAAAAGATAAGTCCATGGGAGCCCTTCGATGTTTCATTGGTGTAAGGGATGGTGAGCGCGTCTAGGGGAAACCCAGTCGCCCGTCCCTTTTTGACTGAATGCATAACCATGACTACTGTCTAACAATCTGCACGGTAGGCCCATGGTGCCAAATCTGTCGACCGACATTGAAGGAGTCGCGCTTCAAGCACAGACGGTCTGGGTGGTCGGGGAGTTGCTCAGTAGTGCAGAAGAATCCTAGAACAAGACTTCCTCCAGCCTCCGCACCGTGGTTGCTTCGGACATTCACGACCTATCCCCAGATAAGCTACAAAACAACACTCTCAGTTATTTTCTTTGCAGAGTTACCACTTCTATATTACAAGTCCAGGGCATGGCCATTCTACAGGTCTCCTTCTCGGAAGAGGCTCTTGCTGTTTGCGATTCCTGCTCAGTTTTCATCTCGTGATAACTTGGTGATAGCTATGTCCTCGGTGAAGATGGATGCCACGGGGTCCTCGACGCCGATCGCGGATGAAGAGAAATTGTCCATGCAGGCGGACCAACACCCTGCCGAGTCATCATTTGCAGAGCTGGGGACGGTGGACGCCGTTGGAAATGACGGCCCGAAAACGTCGTGGCAGAAGTTCACGAACTGGATGGAAACTCGCGCCCGCGTGGAAGCTCGCGGCATCGAACGCGTGCCGGAGTCCGGTCGTCAACGCAAGGCTACGATGAGGGACTTCTTCCAAATCGGCATCGTCTGGTTTTCGGCCAACTGTACTGCCAACAATATGACAGTCGGGGTTCTTGGGCCGATCGAGTTCGACCTGGGCCTGAAGGACGCGATGCTGTAAGCTTTGGCACTTTGGGGGTCAAGACACGTGCACGCGCTAACTGTGAGACCAGTATCTGCGCCTTTGGAAACATATTTGGTGCCATGTGTACCGCATATATTGGTACATTCGGACCAATGTCTGGTAATCGAACTTTAGTATGCCTCCCTCCTTCAACTTCCTCCTTCAAACTTGATCTTATATAACGTTGGAACTAATATGGACACCAGGTCAACGCACGCTACACAATGGGATGGTACCCATCTCGACTGGCCGCTCTCTTCAATGTTGTCGTCCAGATCGGGTGGGGTCTGGTTGACTGTCTGGTCGCTGGCTTAATCCTGTCCGCTGTCAATGGCGGAGGCATGACTGTCATTGTCGGCGTTATCGTTGCAGCACTGGGAACCTGGCTCATCATCACATTCGGCATTCAATGGTTCCACATTTATGAGAGGTTTGTGGAGAGCAATTTCGACAAGTCCCGGGTGTGTATGCTGACGGTGTCTCAGATATGCCTGGCTCCCACAAGTCTGTATCCTATTCATCATGGTCGGAACGGCTGGCCCGCTGTTCGACACCAGCTCGGCTAGCGCAGGCGAAGGGTCTGTCCTTTCCGGCCACCAGTTGACTTACTTCTTCCTCAGCGCCTCCGGTGCCCTCGGCTGGTCCGCGTGTGCGTGTGATTTCTTCGTCTACTTTCCCCCGAAGACTTCACGCTGGCAAATCTTCCTTTGGACGACTGTGGGTCTCGCTTTGGGCAAGATGTTCCCCGAGTTGATCGGTATCGGCCTTGGGAGTGGCCTAACCAAGAACCCAGCATGGAAAGCTGCCTTCGCGAAGTCCGCTGGCGCTTTGTATGTCGAAGGCCTCGCGCCATTGAACCAGTTCGGCAAATTCTGCGCAGTCCTTCTGGCTTTGGGCATCGTCGCCAACAACGTCGCAGGAATCTACGCCGGTGCCCTGTCATTCCAGCTGCTTGACCCGCGATTTGCTCGCTTACCCCGTGTTTTCTGGTGTACCGTATCCACCATCATCTTCACTGTGACCGCCATCGCGGGTCGCGCCCACTTGCTTCAGATCTTCATCAACTTCCTCTCCCTGATCGGGTACTGGACCATCATCTGGATCACCATGACACTGGAAGAGGAACTGCTTTTCCGCAGGAAACGCGGCTGGTACGACTGGAGTGCCTGGAACACTCGCGAGCTTCTCCCAATTGGGCTTGCCGCATTTACAACTTTCGTGATCGGATGGGTTGGGGCTGTCCTGTGCATGGACCAAGACTATTACACGGGCCCGATCGCGTCCTTGATCGGAGATGGTGCCGATGTAAGTCTCCTGTCCACACCTTTCTGCGAGTGTTGATTCTCCTGTCTGATTTCAGCATCGTGACTAACTCTTATTCTCTAGATCGGCCTTCCTGTAGCTGCATCATGGACAGCTGTCACTTACCCTGGTTTGAGATACCTAGAACTGAAGTACATTGGGCGCTAAGTCTTTGAACATGGGTCGTGAGGGATTTTCTGCTGAGGGAAACGTGGCAGGGGTTCTTGGACAGTAACAAGAGACCGAGAGTATGTTTGATATCTTTTCAGTACCATGTTATACTAAAATATACATATCTGTACTTGGATGTATGAGATGGCTCCGCAGTAGAGTGAGTAACAGACCGGAATCGTCTGTACAGGATTCAAAAATTCAAACAATAGTATCACATTTCCTTTGGTTTCCTTCTTGTTCTCGCTCTTTGCTTTTCACAAGCATCCATTGAATGCGACGTTGAGAATGTATTGGTATGTCATGACTTCGGTGGAGTAAATTATGTATACGAAACATCGAAGGATTCGTCCCTGGTCAGGCGTCTGTTGTCCACTACAGTCGTGCACTTGTCACTAGGCCCGAGCGGAGTTTCTGTGAGTCTGAGCAAGTAGCAAGCCTTGTATCAGCATCTGCTTCTACCTGAAGCAAGGCCCAACATCTCTCTACATCCAACTCGCAGTCATACTCGAATAACCACTTTCCAACCCCACCACTTCTCCAAGCGAACGGATCATCCCCTTGCCTCAGTCCCTGGGGCACTGCGCCATGGCCTTGAGTGTGATATGCGTCCTCAAATGCCTTCATCTTTTGGTCCCGCTCTCTCTGCTCCGGACCGTCTGGAAGGTGATACAGATACTGGCTCTCGTATGCCTTCTCGACGACACGCTGGGTGCGTGGTTTCCGACACATCTCGTACACTCTCAGGGCGTGTAGCTTCTCTTGAGGTGTGGCGGCGGAGGTTATCCGTGAGAGGCAGAGGCCTAGTACCGCAGCGTCTTCGATGGCCATGCCGGCGCCGCTAGCGAGGTAAGGGAGAGTGGCGTGGACGGCATCGCCGAGTAGGACAAACGATCCGCTGGGGTGGTACCAGGACGGGGAGCTCGGGGTGGGTGTTCGGGTACAGAGGCGCCACTTCTTGACTTGCGAACAAGTGGACAGAATTTTGCGGACCCTAATGTTGAGTGTGAGTGGTTGCTCCAACGTGCATATGTGCTGCTGGCCAGGTGGAGCCTGCTGCAGCTACAGGGCTTGCCTTACCTGGGATCCCAATCCTTGAACAAAGCTTGCATGACCTCGACGTTCCCTTCCTGCGTGACAACATCGTCCGGTATATCATCGGGGACCAGGAGGACCATATTGAACTGTTTACCTCCTCTTAGGACATACGACACGACGTGGCATTCGGGTCCGATCCAGTAGTTGACCTGCGGATCCAGCACGAAATCTCTGAGTTCTGGATCCTTCAGCATATCATCGGTGTTGAGGAGCACTCTGTACGCCATATCGCCCGATTTAGCAGGAGGGTCGTTTCTGCCAACCAGAAGATTCCGACAGTGGCTTCTGACGCCGTCCGCGCCGACGACGAGGTCGGCGTCCATGTAAGTGCAGACCTCTTGCTCGCCGTTTTGGACAACCACCGTCGCATGACCTCCGTCCGCCGCGATCCTGACATCGGTGACTCGTGAATTGGCCCGCACCTCGGCACCGAGTTCCACCGCTCTGTCCCAGAGACATTGATGCAGACTGACGCGATGCAGGTCCCAATACGGACTGCCCCATTCCTCGCGCGTAGACTTGTGGATATCCCATGTTGAGATCGTCTCGCCTCGCCATCCGATCATGTTGCACAGTCGCGGCGTCGTGGCACATTGGCTGAGCTGTTCACCCATACCCCAAGAGATGAGGACTCGGGACGAGTTCGCCAACGTCTGGAGACCTGCGCCGATCTCGCCCATTGCGGTTGCGGATTCGAGCACGGTGACTTCATGGCCAGCAAGCCTGCATGATATAGCCGTCGCGAGCCCGCCAAGCCCAGCGCCAACGACGATGATCTAGATGCGTGTTAGGTGGTGTACGGTGAACAGGGGGAAGTGCCTTACCTTCAGCCTGTCACCTGCATTCCGCTCGATCTGCTTTCGCAGGGGTACGGATGAGAAGTTCATCTCCAGCAGTTGATGCAGCGGTCAAAGACACATGGGAAACAAACGAAAGGGTCCACCCTATGTACGGCGACGCGAATGGCTAACAAACGAGTGTCCCAAGATTCTAATCCTAGCCTGGAGCCATACATGCCAATAATATATGAAATTGGGGATGTACGAAATGACACACGGGACTAATAAAATGCCCACTCGACGACGTTCCAGTGGTGCGATCCAACCCACCCAACGTCGCGTCGAACGATGATCGGGCGAACATTGACAGGAAAGAGGTGATGGAACCACCTTGGAATGGGGGATCCGTGCCAATTGCCGAAAAAGTCGATATTGTCGTACAGGTGCGCCCATACCGTCTGGAGTATGGGTTCAGGAGAAACGCGATGGTGTTGGCCCTTCCCAGCGAAATATACATAGGCGTCGGACATTCTCGACAGACGCGTATCGTGGCTGATAACGGGCGACCATGATTGACCAATCACCTGGTAGATATCTACACTAGTCGCTTATATTGCCAGATTGGGATAAAGTGGATACAGAACGGACAACCTTAATTCGTCCTCGATCTTGCCGTTTTGCCGTCAACCTGAAACCCAAGCCACGTCCATATCGTGAATCTCCGATGTGCTCGTACCAGAGTTAACCCGCAAGCGCCACTCCCATATGACCACCTGAGAAATAACCATCATGCTACAAAGTCAATACACCACCCCAAGCTGCCTAGTTGCGGACCATTATCAGTTTGGGCGGGCCTCCAAAAGAGTCCACTGAACCCAAGAATCCGAAAGCGGTGCAGCTCAGACCGGAAAATCGCGTGAAGAAGTTCTGTCTACAGAGAGGGAAGATACGGAGCTGCTCAAGAGGTAGGCTCCTTGCCGCTATGGAAATGTGGACCGAGTATGTAATAGATGCCAGGCACTTGTACGCTTACCGCATCCATGGGCCGGAGAACGTCGACCTCTATGTCAACTTCACCGAAAACTGCAGCCTGTAGGCGCACCGTATTGTCTTGCGTCAGGTGTCGGAAGAGGAAATCCAAGGTACGCCACACAAGTCTGCTTATTCGTATGGTCGACGGAGCTAGTGCTCGTTGGAATCTATACGTCTGGACTGACATGAATTATGTGCAAAGTGCGACAGACAGCTACCGTCATGCTCCCAGTGCCTTGCTGTGGGCGCGGAATGCAGGGGATTCAACTCAGCCCGGGACGCTGCCATTCCCCGAAGTATTGTACAACACCTGGAGAACGAGATTGCCAGCTATGAGTTGAAATTGGCGGAACTAGGCTGCGTTGACGCCGACATCCAAGAGGAGATTGGTGGCACCGAACCTTCAGTCACAAATCTTTCTTTCCTTGCCACGGATTCTATGATCGATGAGCCATCGCATGCCTCTCCTTTAGAGATGGTGATCAGAGATCACCATGTAATGGTCGAGCATGCGACAAATAGTCCCACCACGGATCCATCCTGTCACCAGCGAAGGGGATCGGGTGCCCGAGATGCGACAAAGGAGCGAGTCATTGCCAGCGCCGAAATACAGTCCATGATCAATGCAACCTTGCCCGTTGGTCCGTCGCTGACAGACGTTGTACGGCGCGTCCGTATGGGTCTTACACCGTCGCTGGTTATCTCACCCGAGGCCAAGGAGCAGGCCCAAAGCAAGACGCCAGCCCAGAATCGCGACAGCCAACCGGAGACTGACGTGTCAGTATTGATGAGCCTCCCGTCACACGTCGTCCACACGTTGGTCAAGAAATACGTGCAACGCATGCTCCCCGTCCACCCGTTCCTCTACGAACCGACAATATGGGAGCAGCTCGATCGCGTACTTGCGAAGATCCCGCGGGCTGAAGGTGGTGCGTCTTGCTCACGGACAGTAAAGCTTGACTACGACTTCCTCGTCATCTATTTGATTCTCTCCGTGTCTACAACCTTGGGCAGTGCAAAGGTAGGGCAAGGCGCACGATGCATGGCGTTTTCTGAAGCACTGTTTAAGGAAGGGATTCGACACCTCTCCCAAAATGCAGCGTATCCTTCCGACATGGCTTGGATCCAAGTTACCTTGCTCATTTTGCAGTACGCATCCATCAATCCAAAGCTGGGAAATGTGTGGATTCTCAGCGGTTTCGCCATGCGCAATTGTCTCGAGCTGGGCCTCCACCGTGAAGTGTCGAAAAGTATAGGTCTGGACCCCCTGACTATCGACCTCCGCAGGCGCATATTTTGGGCTGCATACTGTATGGATCGGTCCATTTGTGCAGCGCTCCAGAGGCCCCTGTCGATTCCGGACCCAGCGATCGACACGAGCGTCATGTCAATGCTTGAAGACCGCTGCATCACTTCACAAGGCTTCGATCATCAGGGTCAGGAAACCAAGAAATTGGCTCTTCGCTGGATCGAATACCGACGAGTGCAATCCACCATCATTGAAGTCCACTTCCAAAGCCGGCTGCTGGACCCCCAACAGACGTGGCAAGAGTGGCTGGCGGTGATCGAGCGACGACTGTGGGAATGGTATCAGTCTGATCTCCCTCACGACGGATGGACCGAGTTTGCGTTGATGCACGGCCTAGTAATGCTGCACCGACCTTCTTCTCGCGTGCCCTTGCCCTCATCCACGAGCATGTCCACCGCTTTCGAAGCCGCCTGTTCCGCGGCCAAGAGCTGCCGCGGACAGATCACGTCAGGATACTTCCCACGCCCATGGCTTGCGGCCCACCACACCTTTGAAATGGCCCTGGTGGTGCTTTTCTGCTTGCGACACAACTTCGAGGCGATTGCCCTGCAGTTTACCCCCAATGAGATCTTTGAGATGACAAAGCTCTTCACTTCAAACCTGCTCACTATCTCAAGCCAGGGTTGGACCGAAGTCTCGGCGTATGCGGCCATCTACGAGAGACTACTGAGCCCACTCTTAGACGCCATTTTCACGCGATCCAGACCCGTCGCAACGGCACATACCCCCGAGCAGGAGGCGGAATTGGCGAGGCTGCTGTACCCCAGTCCCGCACATCCGCAGGAGTTCCGGTTCGTGGAGATAGGCGGTACCGGTGTCTCGGAGGATCTGTTTTCGTTCGATGCTGGCATCTTTGATTGGGATGATGATCAGCTTGCGAACGACACGACTTCATTCCCATCCTTTGTGTTTTAAAATGCTCCATATCCCTCGGGATAGAGCTAATAGTACCCTGAATCCCGGCCCATATTGCCGACATACGAGTGGGACATGTACGAGAGCGTACAGGACCTTTCGCACAAGTCGTGTTCGATCTACGAGTTCAGCCTTCAATACACGATACACGAGTGGAGTGGATCCAGGCAAGTCCCACGTGTCGGAGATTGGCGCTCAGCAATCGCATCTTTATACACAAGAAGAGTGTAAGCTAGATCGACTTTCCAAAGCAATAACCCACTATTGCTGAGGTATGTATATCGGGGTCAACCGCCATGATCTGGCTTTTAATCTGTTGGGTCTAGCCATCGCTTACTTTTCTTGGTTCCAAGAGGGAGGAGATACTTCAAAGACTAGCCAAAAACGACCAGTTCATTGTACCGGTATCGTCGAATAGGCTTGGAGGGCACCTGATCTGGCTGATACGGCTGAAAATGGAACGCATCGACACCCATAGTCATGCCATTCCAGCTCGGTGGCGGCAGCATTGTATGGACTTGGGCTATGGCGACACTGATGGTATTTCGATGGTCCAGGTAAGAAAGCAAGCAAGCTGTTGAAGCAGAATTCATGTGTCTCCGACTGCCTCCTGTGGAGACCCAATGCTGTGTAAACGAGGATCACTGGGTAGACTGACGGGGGATCAAATTCCAGGACTGGACGGTCGAGGCACACCTGGCGACTATGGACAAAGCCAAGATCACGAAGAGTATATTGAGCATCACCTCGCCTGGCACGCACTTGAAGCCTGGGGACGATGCCTTTGCTCGCAGACTGACTCGCGAGACCAACGAGGACCTTGCCGAGATCTGTGCTGCGCACCCAGACCGATTTGCATTCTTTGCAAGCCTGCCTCTTCCCGATATCGAGGGCTCCCTGGCCGAGATCGACTATGCCTTGGACCACCTCGGGGCGGTGGGCTTTGCGGTCATGACGAATGCACACGCCGTGTACCTAGGCGACCCGGCTCTGGACAGGGTCTTTGAGAAGCTGAACTCGCGGCGTGCCGTGGTTTTTATGCATCCGACCTGCTGTCGGGTGAATCTTCCCGTCGCTGACGGCTTGGCCCCTCAAGCGGTGGCACCCCTGACCCAGTATCCGCGGCCTATGCTCGAATTCCTCTTCGACACCACCCGGGCAGTCAGCAACCTCATCCTCTCCGGCACTGTGGCGCGATACCAATCCATCACGTTCGTCGTACCTCACTGCGGGGCGGCTTTGCCCCCTGTGATCGAGCGGTGTGTTGGATACACGCCACGCACGGTCAACCCCAGCATGCCCATCACTAGCGACGACGTCAAGCACCTGTTCAAGACGCGCTTCTTCTTCGACCTCGCAGGTTACCCATTCCCGGACCAGATACACGGCTTGCTGCGTTTCACGGAGCCCTCGCGACTTTTGTACGGGACAGACTATCCCTTTTACAAGGCCGAGGCCGTGTATCGACTGGGCGGAATCTTGGATCAACGGGCACCGGAGATATTTGACGAGGAGACGAGGAAAGGGATCTTTGGCGCTAATGCGAGAGGGCTGTTGTGGCCCAAGTTAAAAAGCCATGCTTAGGGTGAAATGGAAATGTGTTGACCCTCCCCCCACAGCCGGTGTTGTGACTTTGACCTGCCACAACTTGGGCAGCTTAACCTGCGACTTTGAATTGTCATTGGCGACCAATTCTTGCCTCAAACAGCGTTGCGTCTGAGGCACCGAATGCTGCAAGCCAGTACTTGCCTGGTGCTGTACCCGGAACACAATCTGCCACAGACATCGAGTTTCATATTCGACAAGTTTCTTCCTTCCCTGGCCACTCTTCCTCTCCTCATGTTTTAGTCTCTCTATTCTGTCTATAGTCACGAAACCCTATTACTATGCCACAAATTATACCTCGATCCACGGATTCCTACTCGTACGATTGTGCAGGCTAGGCCGGGTGCATATCCAATGGATTAAAATCCTCGCACACGGAGACTATCACTGTATGAGCACCACCATGATATCCTCTGTCTAGAGGCATACGCTGCTGAGAGAGGATTGGCCCAGAATACTCGGCTCGGCTATTTCAATCTCGAGGAGTTTTCGTCTCATTCGCCACCTTCTTCGCTCCGTATCCCCATTTCGAGTCAGAAAGCTGCGATTGGCTGAGTAGGTCAACAACCCGGTAGTCACTTTTCCGAGAAATTCGTTGTAAAGGGACACGATACGGTGGCGCAACACAGATATTTTGTCAGCCCATGCCAACTCCGTGAATCCGTCTCGTAGGTTCTGACCAGGACAAGGTAGGACGGGGGCCCCAAATGCGCGGAGCGGACGCCCCTGTGGCTTGCCGCTTCCGGGAGGGTTTGTCCAGACAAATTGACTTAACAGTGGGTTAAACTTGAAGACATCTTCGTGGTGGAGGCCCTCTCGATGCTTCACTTTGTCCTCCACCACGACTTTTCTCAGCACGTGTCGGCCTTTCCTAGTCTTCTAAAGGTGACTCTTCCCCAATCCTCAAGATGGGCTCAATTGCGGCGCCAAGTGATTGGCGGGCCTCGGACAATCTTGAGCTCGAAGCATTAGTCGTCGGAGGAGGTTTCAGCGGTCTGTATACCTTGTACAAACTCCTCGACGCCGGGATCGACGCGAAGCTCTTCGAGGCGAGCAATCAGTTGGGTGGTGTCTGGAACTATAACCGATACCCCGGCGCGAGAGTCGACTCGGAAACCCCGTACTACCAGTACAGCATCCGCGAGGTGTGGAAGACGTGGAACTGGAGCGAGCGGTTCCCCGGCCACGAGGAGCTGCGGAGGTACTTTGACCACGTGGCGACCGTGCTTGGACTGTACGACCACATTGCGTTTGGGCAGAATGTCGTCGGGTGCGATTTCGACAACGACGCCAAACAGTGGGTGGTCAAGACGGAGCAGGGAAAGACCGTCCGGTGCCGATACTTGATCGCGGCCGTCGGGTCGTCGTACAAGAAGCATTTTCCGGATTTCCCGGGCCTCAAGGACTACAAGGGCGTCCTTCTGCACGCGGCGGCGTTTCCTGAAGGGGAGTTTGACTTCTCCGGAAAGGACGTTGCAATTGTCGGACAAGGTTGGTTGCACTCACCGGCGCTGCGCTTTTTTCAGGGAGGATGCTAATGCTGTGGAACGCCGCCAGGTGCTACGGGACTGCAGATCACACAAGAAGTCTCCAAGAAAGCTGCCAACCTGACCGTGTTCATTCGGACGCCAAACACGGCGTTTCCGATGTATCAGCGCAAGATGTCGGCCGAAGAACAGAACCAATATAAATCCGTCTACGACCATCTGTTCAAGGTGTGTCGCGAGTCCCGTTCCGGCCTTCCTTACTGGTCAGACGGGAAGGGCACGAAAGACCTCTCCCCGGAGGAGCGCGAGAAACGTTGGGAAGAGCTGTGGGCCCGGGGCGGGTTCAACTTCTCGATCGGCGGGTTCCGCGACGTCCTGTTCGACCAGGAAGCGAACGACCTGATGTATGACTTTTGGAAGAAAAAGGTACGGGCGAGGATCAGCGACCCGAGGAAACGAGAGATTATGGCGCCGGAAATCCCGCACCACCCGATCGCGACGAAGCGGCCCAGTCTGGAACAGGACTACTACGAGTGTATCGACAGGCCGAATGTCGACCTCGTCAGCCTCAAGGAGACGCCGATCCAGAAGTTTGACAGCGAAGGGATCGTGACGACGGACGGCAAGCATCGCAAGTTGGACGTCGTGATCCTGGCGACGGGCTACGATGCCATCACCGGCAGCTTCACGGACATGGGCTTGAGAGACGTGAATGGCCTGGACATGAAGGAGAGGTGGAAGGATGGTGTGCGTACGCACTTGGGCATGACGTGTCCGGGCTTCCCGAACATGTTTATGGTCTACAGCCCTCAAGGTATGTCTGCCCACCTACTCAGCTGCCCTGTCTTCTTCGACTGGACGAGTACTGACTCTCGATTAGCACCTACGGCTCTCGCGAACGGCACCACGATCGTCGAGGTCCAGGGCGACTGGGTGGTCTCGACAATCCTGAAGATGAAGAAGGAGGGCATTCTGACCATCGAGGCTAAGCCAGACGCTGCAGAGAAGTGGGCAGCCGACATCCAGGAGATGAACGAGAAGACACTCTTCCCACTGACGAACTCGTGGTACATGGGGGCGAACATCCCAGGCAAGAAACGGGAGCAGCTGAATTATCTAGCGGGTTTGAATGTTTACGAGCAGGCTTGTAAGGAGGCCCAGAAGCAGTGGACTGGGTTCGAGACCGTTCTTGCCATATAGTTGCGGCTGGGGACAGATCAGTCCCGCCCTTTTTAAACTCAATACAGTGTGAGGAGTGTGGTATGACTAGTATATATGACTACAAAATATGCAACTGGGCCGTTCATCTACTGATTTGAGAGTGTGGGTATCGAACTACACCACCACATACGGAGCAGTAAAACGAGCTACGGCTAACAAGAGGGAGCTCCGGTACCGTTAAACATCCACCAGTCCCGGTAGTAAACTGCCCTAACTCTTCGTAGTCGGACACATAACGATTGGCGACCCGAGTGCCGCCGTGGCTCACCTATTCGAACCCGCTGTCTAATAAGTGTACATCAGTATGGACATGATTTGCGTCTCGAACTTGACTCGGACAAGACTCCTTTCAACCCTACCAACCCAGTCACCCCCTTGTTAGAAGCGTTTGTCTGTTGTATCGATCGGTCACTAAGTCCATTGTCCCAATATGTCAGGGCTTCTCCGAGGAACTGCCTTTGTTACCGGCGCCGGCTCTGGTATGTGGTCTGTCTTGATGTTGTGGCATTGGTACGCCCGGTACTAAAAAAAACGACTCACAAAAGGTATCGGACGCGCCACGGCCATCTGCCTGGCTCAGCACGGCGTGTCAAATCTCGCCTTGGGGGACGTGGACACGAAGAGGTTGGAGGAGACACAGGCGGAACTTGTCGCCCAAGGGTTGGCCGTGCAGGTCGTATTGATCGAGCTTGACGTGAGCAGCGAGGATGCCGTGAGAGGCGCCATCGCGAAGACCGTGGCGGCATTTGGACGCATCGACTATGCCGTCAACAACGCCGGCGTGGCTGGCCCGATGGGCAGGGCCGAAAACGTCGCGTTTGCAGAGTGGCGGCGTCTTCTCGACGTCAATCTGAACGGTGTCTGGCTCTGCCAGCGGGCGGAGATTCAGGCGATGCTGAAGCAGGATCTTCGCGCGACAGGGTATCTCAGACATGTCGCTCTCTCTGGCAAAGGGTGTGCTAATTGCAGTCATGAAGACCATATTCCCCTGGATCAAGAGGGGTCATTGTCAACGTCGCTTCGATCCTGGGCTTGATGGGAGCGTCTGGCACAAGCCCCGTCACGGCGTATAGTGCGGCAAAGCACGCTGTCATGGGTCTCACGAAGACGGTTGGTCTCGATCACTATTGTCCCTATTTCCCTTTCCGGATTCAATATCATCGCGGTTTTTCATGGCACTATTTACTTACGGCGCTTCTAGGACGCACGCGTCTACGCGAAAGAAGGGATCCGGATCAACGCAATCTGCCCAGGGTAATTCAAACCAAGACACCCTCACCCAGCCCTTTGCTATCTCCTGTGAGAAACGTGTGCACTGACCCCGGTCTCGTCCGTCTCGCTTGTAGATTCATCGAAACTCCCCTACTCACCCCGACCCTGAACGACGCCGTTCGCAAAGAGCTCCTCAGGAGAATCCCCGCAGACCGGCTGGGCGCGCCCGAGGAGATTGGCAACTCGATCGTCTACTTGATGTCGCACTTGAGCAGTTTCATGTACGGTCACGGCCTTGTCGTTGATGGGTGAGTTGTGGCTTTTTTTTCCCCACCCCGAATTAATTTCTGGGACGGTTTTTTTTTATATCTAATTTGCTCTGCTGCTGTTTAGTGGGCAGATATGTGGCTGAGCGATCGGGCATTTGAGGCTGGTTGGAAAAGGAAATTGCGAACAGGACCGCGAGACGACATTTATCTATATGGGGATAGGCTCCTGGCGGACCTCAAGGATGACTATTGTCCCATGGCACTCACGAAACCACTGGTTACAACGACATGGATAGATAGATAGAGATCCCGCCTTGCACAGCGAGCCTCGTAGCCAAACCCCGGCACCAATCGGTGTGTCTCAAGTCCTTATTGATGGCAGAGTTCGACCTTGAATTCTAAAAGTGTCAAGGACTCATGTTTTCTATTGAGCACCTCCGAGAAGCCACTTGATCCCAGCGATCAGGTCTTCGGCGTTCTTCCTCGCCGCCATGAGCTTGGGGAAATACCCAAAAGCATGTGGAAGACCCGGATACACATCGAGCTTGACCGGGACGCTTTGATATCAGTCAGAAAACGACACCGGCGAAACGAATTCAGCAAGAGGAAACGGATCTTACCCAGCTGCCCGGAGCTTGTCTGCATACGCCAGACCCTCGTCACGTAATGGGTCCATCCCTGCTACCTGCATGTAGGTAGGGGGATGGCCCTTGAACGTCGGATTCAGGAGAGGAGACGCCTCTGGGTCCGACGGGTCCGGTGGGTTCAGGTAGCCGTAGAACAGTTCCATCGAGCGCTTGGAGAGGAGCGGCGCATCTTTGAGCTCTTCGAGGCTGTGGAGGCCCAGTTCCGGCGGGTAGCAATCGATATGGCAGACGGACGGGATGCGCATGATCGAGCCTTTGATAGGGAGCTGCCCATCCTTGACGCGGTGGGAAAGGACAGCAGTCTAAGAGTAAACTCTCATTAACAACCGCATGGATGTATTAGAGGGGAAATCTCAGCAGCAAGCGAGGACATACTGTGTGGGCCCCTGAACTGCTTCCTCCGATGATGATATTGTTCACGTCGATTCCTAGATTGTCGTGATTGTCTATCGTCTGCCTCTGTCAGTTCATTGACATGGTCATATCGTTTACACTTGTCATACCCATTTCAATGCCTCCCAAGAATCCTCGGTGCCTCGTGGGAATGGGTACTCTGGAGCACTATATTGGGTCAGAGACGAGCAGGAAATCCAAAACGAGCCAGAGACAAAGTGGTGAGTTGTATACGCACAGCCTGTAGTCGACGCTGACAACCACTACTCCTGCCCTCACACACATCGCCCGACACGTCAAATCCTCGCCCTCGAGATCGCCAAGGGTCCAGCCTCCTCCGTGGACGCTTCCTTTGTCAGCCTCGTTGCCCACCACCAGGCCCATTTCTGGCGCGATGGGACACCTACTAGAAGACAGCCGGCTTTGGATTTCCCCCCGATGTTGGCTGATAAATCCTCAGGGCTATAGAGGCACCGTCAGATGTCGGTATCTGCTCATCTCTGACCTTCAGCCCTTCAGTGATGGGTGGGACCTGGGCTTGGGCTCGCTTCTTCAGCTCCACCATAATCTTTCGCATGTGCTCGGGCGTGCCAACAAGGATCGGGACATCGTCGAAGTGGCTCGCGTAAAACTAGAGATTTTCAGTACCGCGATACGTTTGTTACATGTTGCAGGTTGGTTTGGAGTACTTCTTCCCATTCTTTCGTCGGCTTACCGAGTTCGGAGTATTTGGACGGCATTTTTCCCAAGTCGTCGTCGTCGTCGTCGTCGTCGCTGAGAGGCGAATCCCTGGAGATCTAATCAAGCTCACTTTTGGCTCGCAGGACACTACGTATGTTGATGAGTTAATACTCGGTACAATTTGGCGAGACTCCAACACAGCAACCGGTTGGAGAAACATGGACCCCCTTCTCCCCCGCCTTTTCGTCCGAGATCATGGATCCAAGCCCGTTCCGGAGTGGGTGGGCAGCTCCTTCGAGACGCCAACGGACTCGGCAAAGGTTGCCGAGCCCTCAGCATCTACGGAGTCGACCACGCACGGTACGTCCATGGCGACACCGAGTTCACGGAGACGGACCGCCTCCCAAATGCTTCCTCTCAGATGGGGAACAAGCTCCCCTAGCGAGGAACAAGAATATCGGAGCTGGACGAGTCTGCTATGGTGTATGTGGCGTGACCATGTCGTTCGCGGCAAAGTTCCGATCGCGAATACTTCGATTCTCGTGGTGGGACGGATAGTATACGATATAGTTTGCATTTGCCCAGAATCACATCTTTGGGCTATCAAACGGGATATATTCCACTCTTGGTTTGAAAATCATTGATCGGCGACGACAAAGTAAGCCCTCGAGCGTCTCAAAAAATGGGCTCAATAGATACAAATGACCACCGGCACCTGTCGGGCTTCTATGAAGAGACCGACACGGGCTACCGAGTCACAGAGGAACGTCTGGGCCAGCCTCGACATCTCCGAGTCGTCATGGTCGGGGCTGGCGCCAGCGGGCTCAACATGGCGCGCCACATGGAGTTGCACATGCAGAATTACGAGCTCATGATCTACGAGAAGAACGCCGACGTGGGCGGGACATGGTTCGAAAACAGGCAAGTCATGCAAGACACTACCCTGTGCTGGATAGTTGCTGATGTGTCTTTTGCAGATATCCTGGGTGTGCTTGTGATATCCCCTCGCACAACTACCAGTTCACATGGGAACCAAACCCGAACTGGTCGCATTTGTAAGGGGCAGCAACATACTGGTTGCGAAGTCATTGCGGCAAGTGCTGATACTGGCTTGCTCTAGCTATTCCACCTCGCAGGAAATCCTTGAGTACTTCAAGGGCATTGCCGAAAAGTACGAACTGTACAAGTTCATCAAGCTCAATCACTATGTCCAGTCGGCCCAGTGGGACGAAGAAGCCGGGATTTGGCACATTAAGATCAAGGACACATCTACTGGGGAGATAGTAGAAGATTGGGGCCACATCTTTATCAATGGGTGTGGAATCTTGAAGTGAGTTACACCCGTACTCCGTTTGACAGAATACCCTTGCTAAAACAGCCAACTTCCAGCAACTGGAAATGGCCTGATATACCCGGACTGCATTCTTTCAAAGGCGCCCTTATACACAGTGCGGCCTGGGACGATAGCCATGTTCTCGAGGGCAAACAAGTGGCTGTCCTTGGATGTGGTTCGTCAGGGGTGCAGATTATCCCTACTATTCAACCGAGTGAGTGGTCCCTGTCCTTATCCTGGAGATGCTGTATGTGTGTGTGTGGCTAATATCGGGAACTGTAGAGGTCAAGTCTCTGACCACGTTTATTCGCACCCCTACATGGATTACCGCTGGGTTTGCACAAAACCATGCTGGCCCAGGCGGCGCCAATTTTGAGTGTCAGTGATCCCATCAACAATGTATTCGCTGCTTCGAGCGTTGTGCTGACCTCGCCTGTGCGAACACGTAACAGTTAGCGATAAGCAAAAGCAGGAGTTCCGAGAGCATCCTGAGAAGTACATGGAGTACCGGAAATCGATAGAGAGCGAACTGAACCACCGATTCAAGCTCGTAAGCGAATTTCACTAGGATATGGGCAGAGAGGAGTCCATCAGTTTTAACTGATTTTTTTGTACATTGACAGGTCATCATGGGAAGTCAAGAACAGGAAGAAGCCCGACTCTTCTCCATCAACGAGATGAAGACCAAGCTGGCGGGCGACGAGCGCCTGATGAAAGCCATGATTCCAGATTTCGGCGTCGCCTGTCGTCGTCCCACCCCGGGCAACGGATACTTGGAGGCGTTGACTGCCGACAACGTCCGCGTCGTCACGGACCATATCGAGTCGATCCTCCCTGAAGGGATCAAGTTGACGACGGGCGAAGTCATCAAGGTCGACGTCTTCATCTGCGCCACCGGGTTCGACATTTCGTTCTTCCCACGCTTCAAAGTCACTGGCAGGGGAGGCAAGGTTCTCTCCGAACAATGGGCGCGCAAACCAGAGGCGTACTTTTCTGTCGCTACGGAAAACTTCCCCAACTATTTCAGTACGTCCCCTTTCCCCCTCCCCCCCCCCCTCTAAAAGGGTATACCATCGATGATGACATGATGATCTACTGACACGAAACTCCCTTAGTGTTTCTCGGCCCCAACTCGCCCGTCGGCCACGGCTCCGTCCTCCCCATCATCGAGCACAACACCAAATACTTTATCAACTTCATGAAGAAGATCCAGACGCAGAACATCAAGTCCGTCAGCCCCAACCCCGACGCCATCCGCGACTTCAACGAGCACATCACCGAGTTCATGAAGCGCACCGCCTGGGCGACCCCCTGCCGCAGCTGGTTCAAGAACGGCACCGTCGACGGGCCCATCGTCGCGCTGCACCCCGGCGGCCGCATCCACTGGTTCCATATGCTCGAGGACATCCGGTACGAGGACTGGGATTACACGTATCTGACCAAGAATAGATATCAGTACCTGGGCAATGGGTTCTCGACCAAGGAGCTGCCCGGGAAGGACAATGCGTGGTATTTTGACGACCCGGAACAGGGGTATAGAGAGTATTAGATGAGTGGGTGAGATAGATAGGAAGCGGTGTCGACGCATTAGATTTGTATGTCATGACGTGGTTCTACGATGACTTTGGATTATCTGTACTGGATGATTCTCGTTCTCACTCCTCTCCTCCTTTGAAGTAGTAATATCGCTCTCCACGTTCGTTTGGATTGGACTTTTTTTCGGATTGGGCCACATTGCTTTGCGGTCTCGAGTATGTACAACAACATCCCTCCCTTCGGCCGGGAGACTTAAGAGGGTTGTGGATATTCCACCTGATCTCAATCCCTGCCTCCTACATGTGTGTCTGTTTAGACTTGAACCGGCTGAGTCAACCACAGCCTTCTCCTCCCCCCCCTCTCTCTCTCTCTCAAGCTCCCACCATACCTATATCGCGTAGCAAGGGCTGGGTTAGCGTTGTCTATATTATATCGAAAGCATCAAGGCCCCCCAGACGGGCAGCCAGGGAGTGGGACAGTGCTTGCTCACCTCCATTAGGCGCCAGGGTCGTCGCCGTGACGAAGCTGGCTCGCCCGCTCGTGATCCAGACCAGAGCCTCGGCGATTTCCTCGGGCAACCCTTGCCTCTTCATGGCCATCTCGCGCACCATCTCGTCGAGATTCGTGTCGTCCTCCTCGGGCACCTCGCCCAGCATGGGCGTCTTGATCACGCCGGGACAGATGGCGTTGACCCGGATGCCGTCCCGGGCGAAATGAAGGCCGTCGGCCTTTGTGAAGCCGATCACGGCGTGCTTGCTCGCGCAGTAGGCGGGGAGGTTGTCGTAGACGCGCAGCCCGGCCATGGACGCCACGTTGGCGATGGAGCCACGGGCGGGGAACGTCGTGTCGGACGCGCGCAGGGGCTCCTGCTTCAGCATCTGCGTGATCTCGGCCCGCTGGCACAGCCACATCCCCCGCGTGTTGACCGAGAACTGCTTGTCCCACTGGCTGACGGAGTACTCGGTCGTGACGCCGGGGAGGAGGATCCCCGCCACGTTGCACGCGTAGTCGACCCGGCCGAAGCGGTCGACCGTTGATTTGATCAGGGATGTCACCGACGACTCGGACGTGACGTCTGCCCGGGGAGCGTTAGCGTTCAATGGCAGAGTTGAGTAGATGGATTCATAGTGGCGGTTTGGTTTTTTTGATAAATCGAAATGGTTTTGCCGCAAGGAGATTCAAAGGCTGGAGGAGACAGATGGCATACTACTGACCGGTCGGTATGTCAATGACCTCGACGCCTTTATATTCGGCCTCGAGCTCCTCTCGAGTCTTTTTCAGCGCCGCCGCCTGCACGTCGGCAATGGCTATCCTGCGACATCCTTCCTTTGCAAAGAGCCTGGCCGTGGCACGACCGATTCCTTACGTTCCCCAATGATTAGTTCAGCCAAATCAACCAGCCCAACCATAAACCCGCGCTGGCTGGGGGAATAATGAGTCCAGGCGGTTTGCTCGTACCTGAAGCTGCTCCAGTAACGAGTGCCACGCCGGGGAAATGCATTTCGTAAGTGAATGGGTAGCAGAGCCGTATACGTTGGGAAGGGTAGGTGTTGCGGGTTGGATATACAAAGTCTGTCTATAATATGACCCAAGGGAGTATGATTTAATGGAAGGGAGCGAAAGAGGGTGGTTGTGTATCACTAACATCTAGTCAACAAAAGGACTCTAAGATGCCGCTGACCTGGATAAACTATCTAGTGTACTACCCCTCACACGAGGCGACGTACTCGGTACACGCTGTCTGTTTGTTGTGTCCACCAAGCGTCCATCGGGGCTGAGTCGACCAGGGACCCAAGTTTCGAGACAACGCGGGGACCCCGGTGCGTTTGTTCACAGCTTGTTCATAACCGGGGCGGCAGGGCGGGTTTTGTTGCCGCTCCCGCTTTTGTCGCTGATGTGTACTGTTGGCTGGGGTTTAGAGGTACGAGTGAACTCAAAGGACCAAGGGCCAAGGGGGTAGTGGTGGGGAGGTACGAGGAGGGTGCCGTGTTATCTCTTCGGGAACCGGCACAGTTTTCCGTCTTGTACATACGGCCAACGATGCCACTCAACCACCCAACCAACCGTACACGGGACCCTGGTTGATCGAGCTACCTACTCGTATATACAAAATTTGTTGGTACCCAAAGAGTAACTCTAGAATATCACCATGAGGCCTTCGCCTGGCTGGGGACGGACGCTACGTGGGGGATAGGTAATCACTTGATGATAACCGACATACTCAGCTCCGGAAACGACTCGGCAAACGCGGGCTTCAGGGACCAATTCTCCAGCTTGTGCAGGTGCATCTTGAACGCGTGGCTCAGGTGCACGGCTCCCGTCGCGTCGTCCTGCCGTACGTACGTCGCGGCCGGGTCGTACGGCCAGTTGACGTTGAGACAGCTGCAGAAGGACGGGGTGAAGACGTTGAACGGGTACGCGTGGTGGTCGAGCGTGAGCTTCTCGCGCAGTTGCGGCCAGGGAAGCGTGTCGATGAAGATCGGGTGCGTGACTCGACATTGCGACGGGCGGGGGTGGAACCACGGAGGGAGGGCCTTGTAGTTCTCTTCGCTGGGGGAGATTCGGTACTGTGCTCAGGGGTTAGTTATCAAAATGGACTTCAAAGGCCTTGACACGGCGTAGGTCTGTATAGAGAGAGGCATATAGTGTTGGGCAATGCGGCAAGTGAAGAGAACCGTGGACTGTAGTTCTGGTCCGAATACATGGCTCGACATGGGAGAAACCATGCTCACCTTCAAATGGACATAATTCAACCAGAATATCGCCAGCTTCTCGGGCAACTTGAAGTTCCACTGGCTGATGGGCGGTGTTAGAAACAGAGTCAGCGAGTCCGCCGTAGCTAGACTGCTGCTGTAGTGACCTCCCAGCAAAATCTGCACGTCCGGGTCATGGGCCGCGCGCAGCGCAGGGTCGTCGTCGAGCCGGGCCTGGTGCTCACTGATACATTTGAACAGTTTGCCATCCCAGATATTGCTGGGCGGGCAGTTCTGCGGTATCGGGACCAGTCTCTCTGCCGTCATCTCGGGGGCGATGTTGTTGGCCAACCATAACTGCGGGTCCGGGGAGAGATAGAAGTTGTTATGGTTGAGTGCAGGGAGTTCGTCTGTGCCTTTTCTCTATCAGTTCGAGGCAGCAATGGGAGACAAGATCTCTCTGGGAAGAACACTCACCCAGGTCTAGCTGGCCTGCATAGGTCTGTCCCTGGTGCAGCACAAGTTGGTTTCCGAAGAAAGGAAGCCCCCTTCGATGGTCGCTGTCGTTGGCTGTCATACCATGTATGCTCATCTGGAAAGCGGTCAGATAGATGCCTCTCATAATATGGCTGGGACAAGTCCCGACTTGCCTCGAAATCCCCGGCAGACGTGTCGAGAAAACAGTTACCAAAGTCATTGTTGGCGTCCACCATGATCTCTATCGTGTCTCCACTGTTCACGCTGGGCGGGTCTATGAGGGCTTCACAGCCTTGACTAGATTGATCGAGGTGATGAAGCTCGTTGTTGGCTAGGTGGTGGGTATCATCTATACGGTGGGTTTCCTGGGTAACATCTTTCTCGTGACTGGGGAGGCCATGATTTGGATTCGGTCGTGATGTCGTGCAGTATTCTGGGGGTGGATCGTCGTCCGTCTGCTCCTTTTCCGACTGTATCTCGCGAGGCTGGTTGTTGGAAGGCAGCCGCCGTTTCTTCCTCGCAGGGCCACCTATGGCGTCCTTGTTGTTATTATTGCTGCTGCTGCTGCTATTGTTGTTGTCCTGACTGGTCGCGACGTCTATGATACTCTGTACCTTGGCCTCGAGCATCCGAACCCGCAGTTGCAGTTCCTCGTTTTCCCTCACGAGGTCTGCCACGCACGTGTCGGACTCTAACCGGGCGAGCTTCTCCTCCAGACTGGCAATATACTTCTTGGTGCGTTCACGCACATTGCGCTGTGACTCACGGTCCTGGATCCGTTTCCGCTCAAGCTGTGCCCTGGTGCGTCGGGGTGGTCCTTTGCGCCTCGTATCGTTGGTTGCTGCGAGATTGTTGGTGGGTTGGCGAGGAGACGAAGCCTGTCCGTCTGCTGATGATTGATCTAATGCTGGAGACATGATTCTGACTCGGACTCATCCATAAAAGCTGCTGAACTGAGTGGACTAAGTTGTGATGAACTGAACTGTTGATTCGGAGAGACAGACCATACAAGAAAATGCGGGACGGGAACATGGGCCGAGAAGGTCTCGTCGTCACGAACAAGGATGAACTGGAAACCCCCCTTCTGGCTTATCAGATCCCGCGAAACTCTTAGGGTCATGCTGGGGTGACGGAAAAGCCAACCGTCTATCTAACCATGCGTGGTCAAGGGCCTCCCGGGGCCCCGCGTTGTCTAGGACCGTGGAACAAGGAGGATAATTGGTCCCCCAATGCATAAAAATTTCCAATGCTTCCGTACTTTCTAACTACCCAAGACGGTTCTAGGCAAATAATCAGTTGTCTTTGGGTCCTTATCAGCATCGGGTTGTGCAGAGTATCTCGGCACACAGAAGTTGGATTCCGTCCCACACCATCCATCACCCGCGTCCTAGAGCCTTGACTTTTCCCCTCTAGAATATGTAGCTGGACAGAGCTAGCAAAAGCCTCCTTGTCCGCATTGAGTACCACGCTATTACTTACTTCACTAACCTTCTCTTCACGTTCAGTGTGCGAACAAGGAGGCATCCAACAAGTTCTTTTGGGAAATGCGTGCTATTACGAAGCCTCTATACCCGCCTTTTGTTTACCGACAACACTAGGCATGCTTGGGTGCTTCGATCTGAGCAATGTCGACTTCCATCTCGGCCTTTTCATCCTCGGCCTGGTTTGTGAGGTGGATCGCTACATCGTCGCCAAAGATCTCGCCTACTTCTTCGAGGGACAGGCCCTTGGTCTACAACAACAAAAGTTAGCACTTGAGACGAGCAGCTGATAGGATAGTCGCGTACCTCGGGGAAGAAAAAGTAAATGATGGGGATGTTGATGGTCGTCAGGACGATAAAGACAATATAGTATTTCCAACCGATTTCGGCAAAGGCCGTGGGCGCGGCTTCGAGGTAGGGGATTGTGGTCAGGAACAAAGTCCCCACAGACCACGCCATGCCTCGCGGTCGAATATGTGTCGGGAAGATCTCGGAGCAGTAGATAAAGCTGTTGGCATCAATGCAGCATCCGTAGCTGTGGCGGTCGTGTCAGCTCATGGACAAGTCACCCTGTGATTCGCAATCCACGATATCAACTTACAAGGTCAGATGCAAAAATATAAAGAAGAGCGCCGCACTCAGCCCTCCATGGCTATCAGTGCCCGAATAGTAGCGCAACAAGATGGATTCAGCGATCAGTGAAACCAGCATCCCACTGAGGCCGGTGAGGAAGAGGAACCTTCGGCCGGTTCGGTCAACCAAGATCGAGTTGACGTAGTTTCCGAGGGCCCCAATTGTGACATAGATGCCAGACAGAAGAAGAGGCATATGTCCCGTCTGTCCAAGGCCCTGGTAGATCATGACGCTGTAGTCTGTCGACTCGGTCAACAACATGTTTAATCCGTGAGGGCCAGCGAAACTTACTGTAGATGACGAGGATGCCTGAAGATTCATTACTGAAGAAGGTAAAGAAGCCGCAGAGCATCCTCTTGCGGTAACTGGGTTTGCGCCACAGATCCCAGATGGTCTCGTGGCTGAAGAACTCCCGGTCGTGGTCGACCTGTCGGCACATTTGGTAGAATTCCTTGCGGGCGTAGACCTCTTCCGGATCCGATGGATTGTAATGAAGCTTCGCAACGATTTTCCAGGCTTCGTCCCGGCGGTCTTTGAGGAGCACTGCATAACCCGAGTCAGAGATCGTTCTCACGAGGGTGAAAAGGGAGCCAACGTACGCCACCGTGGAGACTCGGGAATCCAAGGCGCAACGGCAAGGGTCAGCAAGGGCCAGAGGCAAGCCACCGCCAGAGGGAATCGCCATTGGAAGTTTTCGTTCTGGGAGAAGTAACAGCCATAGCCGACCCAACCGGCGATCATATAGCCTCCCACGAGAACGACACCTGGGATTTGTGTAAGTACGTGAGAGCTCTAGAATCTCTTGTGACTTACCATGCTGCCCGACCAAAAACCCCCGACTGGCGGGAGGAGATATCTCTGCTTGCATGATTGGGATCAAGGTGACCAAATTTCCTGAGGCAGAGGCAAGTCAGTCAGATGTCTCATCTCCCATCTCTCATCTCTGATCAAGCACCACTCACCGACTCCGTAGCCAGTCAACCACCGTGCAAATAGAAACATGCCTATCGCCGCCGAACCTGCCTGCAACGCGGAGCCTACAATCGAAATAATCGTGGCAATATACAAGGCCTGCTTCCGACCACGGGCGTCGCACATCCAGCCCATGGTCCAGCAGCCCATGAAGGCACCAGCGGAGAAGAGGCCGCTGGTGGCACCCAGGATGCGATTGGTGTAGGCATAGTTAGGCTCGGTCGGCGCAGCTGCCAGGCCAAAGTATTTGAAGAACCCGGGCTATGTTTGCGACAGTGTTACTATGGATGGACCCGAGAAATGAATGGTGGATGGACTGACCTGACCGAGGGTTGTCGAGATAATGCTGAAGCAGTAACCATACGACAACGACCCTAGACAAAGGGCGAAGACGATCTGTTCGAGCAAAGGTCAGTTCACTGGTGCCCTGGTTAAGGTGAGCTGGTGTTGGTCTACGCACAGAGAGGTTGTACCACGAATAAAATCCCTGTTCCTTCGCCATGGTCGTTGAAATGTTTGCGTCACGACAAGGAGGTAAACAAGAATTTCCTTGCAGTACCTTTATAGCACGACATTGTGCAGGGAACAGGTTGGGCTCGGGTCACCAAAGGAATCGACCGGTCTTGTCCATACTGTCCAGAAAGCCATCACGGCTGCGCTTCCGACATTCCGATCCTACAATTCCGTGGCACGACGAATCGCGTGGCTGACCCAGGTATTTTCATACACTGTCTCATACACTTTGTATCTAACCAGGAAGAGTAAAGCGGGCTGGGGCCCAGAGTGGACGTATCTTGGGGTGGCATCAGAACTTATCAAAGCGTTTGCTCGGGTCTATTATGTGGGTTGCTCCAGCCTTGGTCCTCCATCTATTCTCCGCCGAAATCAAAGCTACAAACTCGCTTCGAACAGTCGCTCCAGTTGCTCTCTCTGGGGCTCCATATCTTCTTCGAGGTTGGGGGCGAGGTTCAATACCCGTTTCTGCGGCAGCGTCCCCTCCACAAGGCCCGGGATGTTCTCTCTGCTGAAGCCGAGATCTCTCAGACCTCTCGGCTGATCCCCCAGCTTGGCTAGGAAATTTGCCAGAGCCTCGCCGAGGATTTCCCCAGCGCTCTCCCTTTTCGCGGTGCTGATGTCCACGCCAAACGCCTCGGCGGCAGCAAGATGTCGCTCCGGGTTGGACGCAGCTGTGAACTTGAACACACTGGGGGAAGTGACTGCGACACTGACTCCGTGAGGGATCAGTGGCTTGTCGACATTATAGCCCTTGTGGCTATACCCGGGATTTTGACTCGAGATGGGATAGCTCATGCCGTGGCACAGATGGACGCCTGCATTCCCAAACCCGACACCGGCCAGAGTAGCCGCAAGCAACATCTTATTTTGCGCGTCACTATCTTCGGGGTCTTTTACTGCCCGCGGAAGGTATTTGATCGTGTCTTTTAGAGCTTGGAACGAGAAGACGTCTGAAATGGGGTTTGCGCCCTGATACGCCGGCCGAAGGATAGGATTCGACGGGCGAGGGGTCCGTTGGTTATAGGGAATTGCGGTCCAAGACTCCAAGGAGTGGCAGAGGACGTCGAGCCCAGACGCAGCGTGGACCGCTGAAGGCATTGTCCTCGTGTTTAATGGGTCACAAATACCCAAGGTCGGTTTGAGGGCACGAGAAGCTACACCAGTCTTTGCTCGGTGTGAGGTCAGATCAAAGATGGCAGTGCCAGTTGTTTCCGACCCTGTGCCCGCCGTCGTCGGTATCGCGATCAGTGGCAGAAGCTTCCGAGCCACGGGGAGTCCACGGCCGAGAGGTGCATTGACAAAGTCGAGAAGCTCTGCCTCGGGGTAACAGGTGTAGAGATTCATCATCTTGGCCGTGTCGATGACACTTCCACCACCGACAGCGATGAAAGCATCAGGCCGGTACTTTCTCGAGAACTGGATGGCTTCGAGAATCCTAGATGTATAGACAAATGGTCAGATAAACAAAAATGGTCTTCTAGGAATGGAGTGTGTGGACGAGTAAAGCCTTACGAATGTTCTTTCGGCTCCACCACCACCTTGTTAAACATCGTATAGCTCAAAGCCTCTCGGTCCAACGACTGGTGCACCTGCTGCATGGCATGCAGACCTTGGATGTTAGTGTCGGTGACGACGCAGACGCGCTTCGACCCCAGGTTCTTGACGTCCATGCCCACTTCGGCGGTGCATCCGGGCCCGAACCGGATGCTCGAAGCTGCCATCTCGAAGGCATATTCCTTTTCGGCCGGGAGTTCTGCCACTTTGGCTAGATGTTTGGCTGCAGCATGGAAGGACTGGCCATGATGGACTCCGGGGTTGGAATGGCAGCGACAGTTTGGGGGGTGGTGGAATTGGACCGTCCGAAGGAGATCGAGGGCTCGAGAGGCTGCGGACGCCGGGACGCGAGTGATGATGCCCATCTTCCCTTCTTTCTTGGGCAGTGAGCTACTGGTGCCACTCCGACTGGGCGAGTAACTCACATGTGCTCGGCTTGTTTGGTCGTTTTTTATTTGCCGGATGCCTCAATATGTAGTAGTGGCAGGCCATGAGCAGGCGTCCGCCTCCACGGAAACATCCCAGTCTCGTTAGTGGGCTCCTTTCACCGCACGGGACGATGATCCGAGACCTTGGATCGATAATGCAATCGGCAAAGCACGGCCTTGTAGGTCAGATTGGCGCCTCTTTGGATAGAGTTGGCCCGGCATAAAGGGAACCGGGCCGCTTCAGAGATTGGGACTCGATGAGTGCGGATCGAGGTGCTTGCACTACCCGCTACACATTTGGGGGTAACTCATCCGAGCAGGAAAGTCGTATCT